GATTCCCAAAAGGGCCCTCAGCCCAACAGCGATGCTCGCTCGCTGAGGGATGCTTGCCAATCAAGGCGCCTGGACGGCGCATGGTTTGATTAGATCACGGCTGAATAATGCTCACCTGTCCTGGTCCTCGGGGTTTCCCCTTGCAGCCTCTTTTCCTCTTCTGCTGTGCGAGTTGTCTGCTCGGGCCTGGCCCTGTGCCTTGCATCAATTGGCCGGGCAGGGCAATATAGAGGAGACAAACCCCCCAGAGGAGCATGAATCCGCCACAGCGGACTCGTGCTGGGAGCTCGAATCTCGCGGGCCGCCATTGGCCAGTCGCTTGCCCGGGCCTCAGACAGAAGAGAACAGACCGAAAGCTTGGACCGAAGGAAGGGCGCCGGCGGGTCATGGTCTTGACCTTTGTCCTGCTGGGGCCTTTGACCACTCACTTGCCTATCTCGCCTCGCCCAGTTGCTGGGATGTTATTGCACCCAGGTCGTTCTCTCGGATAAGCTCCCGTGCAACTCACATCTCCTGTAAGCACGTGGCCGTGGCAGAGCATGAATCATACAGCATGGGAGGCTGTCGATTGATGCGAGCCCTCTCCCAGGGCAGGGCCGGACCTGGGATTATGTATATGCAGTCACACGAACGTCGTATTGGGGAAATTGTGGTGGCTAGTCACGCTGCATACATTATGTATACCGGCCACCTTGGCACCTCGCTTGGCGGGAAGAAGGATTCCTGCTCGAGAATGAACGAGTGCGAGGGCTCGCTCTATGGCTGATTACCGCCTGCATCTGATCCGACACCACGCTGTGCTCCCTCTCTCCAGTATTCCTTTACTGCTCCTCCCTCGTGTGGCAAAGCAGCACCCCGGCCAACCACCGTAAATAAAAAGCACTTTGGTCTGTCAAGGTTATTTATTGTTCTTTCTTTTTTATGGATGATGATATAATATTATTATCCGAGGGCCCTGACAAGTGTGTTTCATCAATCACCGATCTGGACGAGTGCGGCGGCTTTGACATCTTGGATGGCTCGACGGTGCAAACACCAACCGTCACCTCAATTTTACGTCTTACTGTAAGAAAGTAGCCATCAATGCCGAACGCTGCTATTTTCGTGGACTCCTCTTCTTGCTTTGTGTCCGCCCTTTGTCTTGCTGCCCGTTACATCTCAACAGTGCCGTATTCATGCGACTTCCTTGTGATTCCAGATCTTGGACTTGTCTCACCTCGCGTCAAATTTCCGTTGCATGAGCCGTGTCTCAGTCTCAGACACTATTGTGATCTGCTCCCCTCCTAGGAGTTGTAACCATCTATTGTTTGGCCACGAGTTCGTGGCGAAACATGCGTAGAATCTACCAGAGTCGCCAGGTCCCATACCCAGGCAATATCTTGCTCTCCTTGGCCTTCGGTTAGTCGCCGCCTTGGCCGGAATATCCCCTGTGATACCCGTACGTGTTGGCCATCTGTTAGATGAGCAAGGTGCTGCCTAGGTCTCGGCTGCCTCTTCGCGAACATTACCTCCCCGAGAACTGGTCCCCTTGTTGACGCTAGGCAGAAATGCTGTGCTAGGGAGACGACTTGGGTCGAGAATGCATGCCATGCACTACATAGACCATCCAGCCGGCAGTATCTTCATACCTCGGATGAGGTTTGAGATCGTTGAAAGGACGCCGTTGTGCCGGATCTGCGTTGATTTTCTTCAACATCCCGACAGGTGAGAGTCTAGAGCGAGAACCTGACTGCTGCCCCAGTAGATCTTGTCTTTGGCTGGAGCAAGGGTAATGGCGATCCCGGTCTCGGTCTCGGTGAGTTGTACCTAGCCAGCCTTTTCGGCTCCTTGCGGCGACGTAACGTAGCCCCCGCGTACCATAGTAGAATCATCAACAAGCCATCTTATTTCGCTTCCAATTTCCCATGTCATAATTTGCAATAAGTCGACACCGCCACTCCGAGACCCTAACACTGTCTCGTTGAATTAAATGGCCGTATTCAGCCTCTTCATTTAATTTATATGATTCATCAATGATATCAGAGGTGCAAAAGTGCTGATTATTTTGAACACTACCCGTTGACACACGGCTCGAGTCTCCTATCCCTATCCAGCCTGGATACAATAACGGCTTGTCCTACTATAAATTTCATCTAGTCTCGTAGCCTGTGGCAGACGTAAAGTAATGATTCCCGTATTACTGCGGATGATTTGCAGATCTTCATGGCTATTGTAGACAAACAAAAAAGGCTCACTATGTGATTCATGGCGAGCGTGGTCATGATATCCGGCTCTAATAGATGAAACAATTTCAAAATAGACGCCGGGATTATTCCAATCCCTTCATGGTCACTCACTAGATGGATGAATATTGTCTCACATTGTTTCGCGGATTTTCTGGAAAGTTCTCATCCTCCGTCTTCCGCATTCCTGCCCAATGATTCAGACGCTCGTGGCACCTGCAATGATAACCCGAGAATCTCGATGCATTGAGGCTTCGGAGTAAGCAACCTAATTGGGGCGAAAGGCATGAATCTCGTGTTCCTATTGGGAAACAGAGCAGTGCTCACTGGCCACCGTCATGAAGCACACAGCGAACACTGGTTTCAAGTGCTCCCACAAATAGCATGTAGACTCGGACGCAATGAGGTCGCGGCCAAGGGTCAAATATTCTTTAATTATGGTAAACACTATGTAAAGCCTCGTGCTGTTCATTCATTCACACCTAGCATTCTCTTTTAGTGGTAGCCATCCCGAGATTGGCATATCAAGGCAGAGAAGCAGACAGGCAACTTCCAAATTCAACGATGCCATTCCGAGTCAACGTATTGCTCATAAATCCCATTCCATGTCATTTGACTAAGAAATGCTGTGGGAGGTAAATCTTTTGAATTGTTTTTGTTGAAGTTAATGCCATTATCGTAGAATAAGGCTTCTGCTGAAATCGTGCCATAGACATCGTGATAGTTGATGTTTTGCACTACTAGTTAATATCGCCGCAGGACTAGAATTAATCACGGGAGCATACTATTGCCATTTATTTGATCCAGCCATTCAGCTTGCTCAATGGAGTCACTCATTTGTTGATGCAATACATAAGTCGGTGGTTGAGCAGTAGCATAGGGTAGGCCACGGAGAATGACATCAATGGGAGACATTTGATCGCTTCAACAGACGACAACGACAACAAGGATCGAGAGTCTACTTGAACTTGAAATTACTCGCCACCGCCGCCTCCGCCATCACCACCTCCTCCGCCTCCCCCATCTCCTCCATCAGTGCCTCCATATGCGTTCCCTCCATCGCCCGAATCATAGGAACCTCCTCCATGACCGTTGCCGCCGTCGCTGGTGCCGCCCTCTTCGGCCATTGCCCATTGAGAATCACTGCTGACACCTGAACCTCCAGCTCCGCCATGCGGATCACTCGAGGCATCACGCTTCTGAGACACATTGGTCACATACGAGTTCTCCTGGGCTAGGATATAGTGTTGCAGCCACGCGATGTTCTGATCAGCCACCTGAGCCTGCTGCGGGCTTAGCATCGGCCGCACTCTGGATATCCTCTCGGACCACGTCGCTGCCACGCAAGCAGGCGGATCATACAGCCCATGAGCCGGCCTGTTGAACGTCCAGCCCGTGCTGAGCACAACCCAGCTGGCGTCCCGGGCCTGATACATGGAGACGAGGGACGCAAACCGCCTAAACTGGCTCTTCGGATCCCTGACCTGGCCCTCGTTCGGCCTCGCGATGGCCTTGTCCCAGAGCTTGTCCACCGCCTCCTTGGGCGCCCTCGTCCACCCGACCAGACACACAATGTGGCCGCCCGTCGCCAGGCTCTGGCACGGCGTCGTCACAGCCCGGATGAGCTCGTCCCGCACCTCGCACGGCTGCACGTCGATGACCGTCTTGGTGTCCCGGTGCCGCCGCAGCTCGTACTTGAACCCGTGGACCAGCAGCGCGCGATGCACCATCCGGCCTTGCTCGGCGCGGAACGAGTACCAGATCTGGCTCCCGCGTCCGGCGGCCGACTCCTCGTCCATGCGGGCCTGGACGGCGCCGCGCGTCTCCTGCTGCACGGCGCGCCATATCGACGGCCAGTAGTCTGGGTTGTTGGACGAGATGTGCTGCGGCGCGCGGACGTGCACCGGGATCAGCTGGCGGAGGGCGCGGCGCTCGATGGGCGTGCCGCCTAGGCTCTTATAGCGCCGGCGCTTCTCCTTGTTCTCGCGCCGGTTCTTTCTGATGGTCTGGAAGATGGCGCGCATCCCTGGCAGACTGGCGTTTGTTCCCAGGCGAGGGTATAAGTGGTGATGTAGAGAGTGGACAGACGGAGGTATGGAGAACCAACAGACGAGCTGACGCTCATTTAACAGAGACTCGACACATGGCCTGAGGTTGACGGCGCGCTGAAGAAAAGGAAATTGCTATATTTATATTCTGCACGTTACACGACCGTTTCTGTTGAGCTAGGCGTATTCGAGTTCAGCCGCACGGGGTGAGGGGATTTGTGTTGTGCATCGTGCATCCCTCCATCATTCTGCGACAGCTGCGACTCAGCCGAGTTGGTGGCTATATGTATCCAAGGATTTGCAGGATTCTTTGGGTGTTGCCATTTGGTTGGAATGATCTATGTGGCATTGCTTCATTGTGCGACTCTGGGTGAACCTTTGCATGCAGCAATACCTATACAATTAGTGCTGACTTGTTCTTTTGCACGCAGGTACATATCACATTCACTGCCCAAAGTTCAAACCGCCGACTGGCAGCTTACTCTCATTGGACAGGACTTGTTTCTGTTTCTCTGAATGAATGATCCTGATCTATTCCAGGCCTGAACTGCATCACGAACACGCTCTAACATGTGTCTTGGCATTGGTGGAGCATCACATGAGGTCGCCGTGTAAGGTAAGAGAGCATTTTTGGGTTATTGACTTGACATAAACTCCTACTTCACTGAAAATCTATCTCGGCCCGGTCTCTCTTACTTTCTCAAGCCTATATAGAGGACACATGTCCCGATCAGCTGGGAATCGTCAAGGCAAACTCCTTCACAAGGAGCGACCCGCCCAAGGCAGACTCGGCGAAATTGAACACGGCAAAGCGGAACGCCATAAAGAACTGCCAGCGATTGTGCAACTGCCACTCTGATCCCAGCTGTTTGAACTCAACACCGTCAGTGCTGTACTCGAACCAGGCCGGGTTGTTCCCCTTCTCGGGTGTTACGCCAAAGGTTGGATGCACGTCGGCCGTTACTCGCAGCCAGATGTCCCCCTCGCCAGACGCTACCGCTTCCAGGCCCGCTGTCTCCTGCGCCAGCTCTGCGCCTTCTGAGGTTGTCTGCCAGCCGTTGCCGTTGTCAGCCATGGTGATGTTTCCAACGAGCTGGAGGACGAGTGAGCCATCTTCATTTTTGTGCACACCAATGTAGGCAGAATCGTCACGTAGGAGAGCGACGCCAGCCGTATCGCCGGAGACCAGGTTCGCGGCGTTCAGTCGGAATGTGGCCGTGCTCTTGGGACCGATGATACGATGCGACAGCGTGTTGCGGGCGGCATACAGGTCAGCTGTTACTGTGGCTGTTTTCAGAGTAAGTCCGTCCGGCCCTAGAGACCAGGCCGAGTTGTCCGGGTTGTGGTTCCATTCCCACCCCTTCCTCAGGGTCTCCCCGTTGAAGGAGTCCGTGAACGGACCCAAGGGATTCTGCACCGTCTTCTCGGTCTGGATGTTTGGCTTGGGGTATGACTGGCCCCAGGCGCCGTTCTCATCCGTCACCAGGTTCGGCCACCCATCTTCCCATTTTATGGGAGCGAGAGCAGGGATACGCCCGAGCGGGTAGGCGTCGAGAAAGCTCATGTAGTACCAGTCGCCATTTGGTGTGTCGACGATAGCTCCCTGATGGGGCACGCCAGAGTTGGGAATTGGGCCCTTGATCGATTCGAGAATGGAATGCTCCGTATATGGACCCCAGGGATTGTCCGCTCGGAGAACATGCTGCTCATTGGCGGGCCTTGTGAGCCAGATATAGTAGTATCCGTCGATGTGGTAAAAGCGAGCTCCCTCGAGATACCTCACACTATCTAACCAGACAAACTATGACATTCAAATAAACTATGTCAGCCTTTCCGCTGGTCAATTCGGGGCTATCGAACTGGCATACCTCATCGCGGACGACACTCAAGCCGTCGTCGGAGAGCTGGGTAACACTGATGTTATATCTGCCGGATGCGAGATACATGGTATCGTCGTCGTCAATCAAGATGCCCACGTCATAGAAACACTGGTCGAGCGATCCTGCCAGCTCCCACTTCCCTGCTGGATCGGGAGACGTGTAAACCCACGTCTTGGCGAATTCAGAGCAGCCATACCAATAGTACAGACCGTTGCTCTCTCGATATCGCATGGAGCTGGCCCAGATGCCTGCGACATAGGCAGAGCCGTGGCCGTCCAGGTTGTACTTTTCACCCCACTCGAGCTCGGGGACCGAGCTGCCAATATACTCCCAGTCTACGAGGTTGTATGAACGGAGAATTGGTGCGCCGGGTGAGTAGTGCATCGTCGAGGCCGAATAGTAGAAGGTGTCGTTGACGCGGAAGATGTCCAGGTCGGCAAAGTCCTGCCAGACGACGGGATTAGTGAAGGTGTCCTGAGCTGCCGCTTGAGGCGCCATCATGGCGACAGAGGCGGCAGCAGCCAAGATCGACGTTCCCTTCATTTTATTGTCTCTATTGACCTCGAGTCCAAGGTGCGTTGTTGCATCTCATGCCGACGATGAATGGCCGTGGCCAATGATCTTATTTATAGATAAACACTTACTTATCTTTCTTTCCTCCCCAATTGACCTTTCCAAGCTTGTTTGCATCATGTTGGAGAACCCCAGTTCCAAGAGCCAAATACCCGACAATCCTACAGCCGCCAGTTGCCGTGCGAATGAGAAGCTCTCGTCGTCTCCCCCGTGGAGAAGTGGAGGTCTGCTTCATTGGCGCGCAAATCCAAACAGGATGGCGGGATATTGCTCCGTGGTACTTGCAACCCCGGGGATCTGCACACGCGACACTCAATTCGCTGCCCTGGAAATAGCCAAAAGGCTTCCCCAACTTGCACGGAACCCCGTTCCCCAATCAGGCAGTTGGGTTGGGGAGGCACTTGTTCGTGGGAGAGAAGCTGGCGCGGAGCATACAGACAACCGCCCAAGACAGAAATCTAGATATCCTGGGTTCTTTGAAGCTGAACCGACCACCGGTTGCTTATGACTGAGATCTAATAGTTCTAAACCAACCGCCATCGGACATCTCTCCGGCATGGCGGCCGGACACGGAGAAGCCGTGTTTGTGGGTCGGATATCTGTTAGAGCCGGTCGAAATCCGAGATATCGAGCCTAATACCCACTCACCTGGCGAATGAAAAGGCCTGTCATTGGCGTCAGTTATGGTGTAAACCGGTATCGGAATGGTAAGGAGTTGTCTGCAAATTTCAATGCCTTGTTTTCTTTGTTTTGGTGGCTGTAATAAGAGGAGCAAGTCTGGCACACCCTCAACCTCCTCCGAGACCCTTTTTGCCCTAGCTGAATGGATTTCAAAAACGCAAAACGACTTGACTCTTGATGTGTTTTTATTCACTAGTTATGATTGAATTATAATGGTCACCGTAATCGCCGATTGCACGTTACTGGGCTACTTCCGAACACTAATATGGGCAACTCCAAGGAGGTAGATACGGCCCCGTCGCCTACAAACCAGACGGAAAAGTCTCCTGCTGTAAATGGCATCATAGAAGAAACAGCCGATATCCCGGTGGAAGTTCCCCAGCCTGACAACGCTCGTGGCGGGGATGAGGAGAGAGTTGTTGGGTTGCCACTTGCCCAGACGACCAGCAACCGGGAAATCTACGACCGCTTCACCAAGAGCCGCAAGCTGGTCATCATTTCCGTCATCTCAATATGCGGCTTCCTCACCCCCATCGCATCCACTGCGGTCCTGGTCGCCATCCCTGAGGTCGCCGCTACTCTCCAAACGACGGGCGAGATGATCAACGTGTCCAACGGTCTGTTCTTCGTTTTCATGGGCCTCAGCCCTATCTTCTGGGGTCCCCTGGCTGCTACCTCCTTTGGCCGTCGTAACACCTTCATCGCATCGACCGTTTTCCTCACGGCGTTCAGCGCGGGGACCGCCCTGTCGACTAATCTGGGGATGTACATTGCCTTCCGTATGCTCACTGCTTTTCAGGGAACGGCAATCCTTGTTGTGGGGAGTGTAGTAATCGGAGACGTGTACCACCCAACCGAGAGAGGCCGGGCCTTGAGTATCTTCATGCTGGGGATCCTCGTCGGCCCGTCAGTGGCGCCTCTTCTCGGTGGTGTGGTGATCACGTACACGAGCTGGCGCGTAATATTCTGGGTCATGACGGCGCTTTCAGGCGCCGCCTCCCTCATGGTCATCTTCTTCCTCCCAGAGACCATGCACGAGCGACCGGATACCTTCAAGGGCTTGACCGTGGGACAGAGTGCCGTCAAGCTGGCGAAGTTGACGAATCCGTGGAAGATGTTGCACCCTCTCCTCGCCTATCCTAATCTCTGGATCGCCGCGCTGGCCGTCTCGTCCATGATTTGGAACCAATACTCGCTTCTTACTCCTATCCGGTATGTGATCAATCCGCGGTTCAACCTCACAACGCCAATCCAGTCAGCGCTGTTCTTCCTCCCTCCCGGAGCCGGCTTCATGTTCGGCGTCCTGTTCGGCGGCAAGTGGTCCGACTTCATCGTCGCCCGCTACATCGAGAAGCGCGGCCGCCGCATCCCCGAAGACCGCCTCAACGCGGCCGTGATCCTCCTGGCCGTCTTCATCCCCGGGTCCATGCTCCTCTACGGGTGGTCCATCGACAAGGAGGTCGGGGGCATCCCGCTCGTCGTCGTCAGCTCGTTCCTCCAGGGCTTCAGTCAGCAGATCGCCCTGCCGAGCATCAACACCTACCTGATCGACGTGTTCCAGGACAGGGGGATGAGCTCGGTGGTGGTGGCTGGAAATTACTTTACACGGTACATGTTTGCGGCTGGCGGGTCGGCGGCGTGTTTGCCTGCCATTAAGACGATTGGGATTGGGTGGTACAGTACGATTTCTGCGGCGTTTCTTACTGGTGCGGCTGGGCTTGTGTGGTTGTTGACGAGGAATGGTGAGAAGTGGCGGGCCAAGAGGGTGTAGTAATTTAGATATCCTATAGAATGACTAGACATAGAGCACGCGATAGAGAAACTGTTTACAGTATTTTCAAAGGAAAAACGAGAAGCTCCAACTGAAGTGAGGAGAAACTGGATTGTTAATGTAAATTAAATGGTGGAAACCATTGAGGTTGACGGTGTGGATATTGATTGGGAGGATCCAGGGCACGTTTACGTTGCAACTTTTGGCGTCACCGCATATGCAGCTGACACACGCAACTTGCTCTCCATGGAAAGCGGGAAGAATCAAGCCGGTTACAAACTCATACCGAGCTTGGAGTGGAAATGGGAGATCGAAGGCTTCGTACTGCTATTATAGGAGATAAGACGAGCACTCGGCCCAGCTAAACTTCTGTCCGTAACCGTCCCAGGCTAAGTAGCGGATCTCGTCGCCGTCGACAGCTCGACGATGCATACCCCGAATAAGCCACGGGATAGACTTCATCAACGTCATGTAGTATGAGCTAATGAGCCGACGCAACCACGTTGTGATCCACCACACCGGTGTCGCTGGTTCCAAGGCGGCGGTCCAAATCGATCGAGGTGCCCCGCTGGGCAAGCTCAATATCGACCTCCCTTATTATCAAAGGTGGTATCGGACGGCGGCCGCGTGTGATGCTGCATACCCGCTTGGTTGCCCAGTGCCGCTGATGGAGGACCGGGAGACTGGGGCGGGCCTTGGCATGACGGGTGGGTTTAGATGGCACGACGAGACGCCTGCCGAGCTCGCCGAATCTTACCACCGGGCTTTGACACATGGGTTCACGTATGAGGACGGAAGCTGCGGGTACTGGGGCCCGGACGAACTATTGTGGTGGTCCTTGGACAGGCTAGAGAGCATACGGAGGAACCTGGTGGAGGTTGTGGGCAAGTTGTGACCTGGCGGCGCCTTCTCATAGGTTCTTGGGGAAGACGCACCCGAGTTTAAGCACTTGAGGGCTACTACTGAGGGCTTGGGAGTTTTAGCTCGTGGGAAGAACGGAAGGGATCAGTGATGACAAGTCGAAGGACTCAGTTAGCCGGGGTGGTGGTGCTGCGGGAGATTGATAAGAGCAATGCCTGTTTAGAAGAGTCCTTAATGGTATACGGTGGCCTGACCATTGTAAAAAAGACCTTCCCAACAAGGCTGGCAGGTTCTGAGAGAGTAGCAGCGTAAAATTGATAGATGAGAGTTATAATACGTGCACGCCACTGGCCGGGATCGCCTCACGAAATGGAAGTGAGGCCCTCGTCACGCTTCGAGCGAGTGGATAACTATCATGACACTGCAAGCTTAAAGGGACGCTCCACCCACGTGCTCTACAAAGGATCATGTCTACCTAGGGTGCATACTCAAACCGGACTTGGTGATTCCGGCGAGCGAGATGACCCTGGAGGAGAGCAGATGTCTCGGTGGTCCCCGATCAAGATGCAGATACTAGTTAGAGGGAGGTTGGTCTGCAGCTAACATTACGTCGTATAGAAGGTGGAAATGTCCCTGCGTGGTGCATACGGCTCTCTCCACGAATGACAGGGGTAGAAAGAAACCAAACGGACTTGAAAGCCGTCTGAAATGAATAGCTTGTGCTTATTTTCAAGGTTAACCTGAACAAGGTATGAAAGAGGGGATTGAGCTGAGGACTTTAAAAGTTAAAACTTAATTAGCGGCGTAAATGCCACTGGCTGGAGCAATGGCATGAATGAACCGAGCTGTAAAGGAGAGTCCGTGATTGAAGCTCAAGATTCTATTCATCGCTCCCGAATGAGAAATGACTGAACGATGATGCTCTGCTCTGTTACTGTGGGGAAGAATGCTGGGCGGTGCCTCGTCTCGCTTCGACGCCATTATCTTGGCCCTGGGCTTCCCTGATGAACAGTAATAAACGAGGTTGGGTTGGAGTGGTGTGGTTGATGTATTGTCATCTGGCGAATAGGAAGCTGTGGATAAGGCACGCGGAGGAAGGATTCTCGAAGACAACTCAACCCCAGTTCCCCACGTGCGGCACTTGAAATCAAGACTTCTGAGACGGCGATGATCATTATTTTGGGCTCACCCCAAGATTTGGTGCCTGCTGTTCGCATATGGAGAAAACTGCCAGTCGTTGTGAGAAGATTCAAGCCATTGAAGACCATCTCTCACGAATAACGGTCCATCTTCTCGACTCAGTCTGACTGCATGCACCTGAACGAATCTGCTTATACGCGCCTCTATTTTACCTGCATGAAAGGAACGATAAAGTCCAGAACGGCGCCTCCACAGAACAAACCAACTGCCTGATACAGAAGGCCTGTGTCAGGGTTAGAGTTGGTTGATCAGCCCGCTAAGCTCCAGCGGGACACTTGGCCCGCTCCACTGAAGCTTAGGCCCCGCCAATGACTTACAGCGAGAGATACCCACTGTCATCATCCGCTACCATTCCCATTACAGGCTGTGTTCCGCCAGTCTAGCGCCAGCTCCAGTGTCCCACCATCTTCTAGTGATGACGTACGTTTCCCTGCTCCAGCCAGCTCAGTGCTATCTCTCTCAGCTCCGCCTTGGCTTTCGGCTCGATCCTAACCCATTGCAAAAACGTGGGCGTTATTTATCTCGAGAGTTTCGGAAACTTCTGGGCCAGAAGTAAGACGGCCCAATCGCAGCCCTGGCGCCGTTGATCCTCCCCATCATGGAAGCTACTGCAATGGCAGCTCACCCCCAACCCACCAGCCCACCATGTCGTCGCCAGACGTGGGAGGCACTGCCGGCTCATCTTGAAATGAATCTCTAGGCTTACAGGCTGTAATGCCCTGTTCCATGCAGAGCAACTTGCAGGGATGTCTCGGTTCCTTGGGAGAGACATACACATGCCAGCCAGTTGACGGCTGAGAGACCCGATGCTACCCACGCACTCACTCCCCAGCAATTCAATCCCGCAGCTAGCTCCAAGAGCTTGAGAAGAAGCTGGACCACGATCTCTTAATGGGATGAGAGACAGGCATCGAAAACAATAAGAACCAGCCCAATTCCTTCTGCATTGCCGATCCCTTCTGGCCCAGGCTCTCTCTTCACTCACCCTCATCCCTCCCTCCCTTCACTGCCACTCAGGCTTCCTCTCCTCTTCATCAGTCAGCATGCGTTACTCTCTTGCTACCGGTCTCGCTGCTCTTGTTGCCACAACTGCTGCTGCCTCGTGCTCATCCAACAACAGTACCAATGGCGTCCCAGCTCCCCCCAAGAACACAACCCGCAAAATCAAGCGTGTCGATCTGGGTCCCCGCCCCGGATACCTCGTTGATGACATGGATGAAAGCCCTCTGAAGACGGAGCTCCAACAGTGCCTGGACACTTCAACCAAGCCTTGGAAGGCCTCCACCTGGTCCATCGGCCACCGTGGTGGTGGTACCCTCAACATTCCCGAGCACTCCGTCCAGTCCAACATGGCCGGTGCCCGCATGGGAGCTGGTATGCTCGAGTGTGATACCGCATTCACCAGTGACTTGGAGCTCGTCTGCCGCCACAGCCAGTGTGATCTTCACTACACCACCAACATTGTTGCTATTCCTGAGCTCAATGCCAAGTGTAGCACTCCTTTCACTCCTGCGGCTAACGGGAAACCCGCCACTGCCAAATGCTGTACTGCAGACATTACTCTTGCTGAGTTCAAGACCCTCTGCGCCACCATGGAGGGCTTTAACGCCTCCGCGGTCACCCCACAGGACTTCATCAACAACCCGCCTTCATGGAGAACCGACCTCTACAGCCACTGCGGAGAGGTCTTGAGCGTCCAGGACCACATCAAGCTCACTAAGGAGCTGGGTCTCCTCCACACCGCTGAGCTTAAGACACCCGAGGTTCCCATGCCCTTCAATGGCAACTACACCCAGGAGATCTACGCGCAACAGCTCATTGACGAGTACCGCAAGGGCGGTGTCCCTCCCGAGGATCTCTACCTCCAGAGCTTTCTCTACGACGACATTCTCTTCTGGCTTAAGAACGAGCCCCAGTATGCCGCTCAGGCAGTCTTCCTTGACTCCTACGGCGAGACCGAAGAGGAACTTCCCAACGCTGTTGCCAACCTGACCAACTACAAGGCTGATGGCGTCACATACCTCGCCCCTCCCCTGCCCTACCTCATCTCTGCCGAGAACGGCACAATGGTCATGAGCGAGTATGCTATTAAGGCCAAGGAGCTCGGCTTCAAGATTATCCCCTGGACCGTCGACCGCTCTGGTAGCCTCTATGATGTCAAGGAGAACAACAACTACTACTTCATGTACTTTAAGGATGCTGTTAGCAAGGACGGCGATGTCTTCACCATGCTTGACCTCATGTGGAAGGAGATTGGCATTGTCGCCATCTTCTCTGACTGGAGCGCTACCCTGACATTTTACGCCAACTGCTTCAAAATTGGCCTGTTCTAGGTGGACACTTAAGGCTATCAGTGTGCAGTAATGGTAAAAAAAACTGATGTAAATGAATAGATGAATAATAATTAATTGTCCTCTGGTCTGAGGAAGAGAGACTAGTCCCGATGATGTGATGGCTGCCTATAGCTTTGGAGTCTTGATATCTACTCGTCTACCACTTGCTCATGTCATTTTCTCATCTATGCAACTGGATAATCCCTTGGTATGTTCCCTGGATAAATAAAACACTGAGGTTTTTACGTATTTTGAATACCACAGTCCAGGTAGTATACCGTAGCTAAGTTTAATAAACTATGAAAACACGCACAACTAACTACTTATAAATATAATAATAGAAATCAAACGTATCATCTTTTTACTCATGATAAAGAATATTATAAACATTCTTCCAAGATAGATCGTCTATAATACTGATTAGATAATCAACGTCCTGTAGCACGTGCGCCTGAAACTACCTTCCTGCACTAGTGATCATCAGAACAGCCTTTCGTCTATTAGATGGTTCCGCATCTTCAATGTCTTCAAATGGGATTATAAATGGAGGTGACCACGCCGTCGCAGTATGAGGAGAGGTCTAAGAAACGCCAAAAGCGCGCCGGGCGACCTTGTGACGCATGCCGCCGACGGAAGACAAGGTGCATCCCCGGCGCTGATGACGACCAATGTTGTCTGCACTGTCAGCTTAAACAAACATCATGCACCTTCAGGCTGGATCCTCCTCGGCGTCAGCCAATCACCCAGGGGGCAGTGATAGGTAGCCCAGTGCCCCCTTCGACAGATACGGGTCTGGTCCAACAACTGGGGATCCCAAACGGCCCCTCCCCAACCACGGCAATTCCTGCCGTATCTCGTGGTCATGGAAACAATCCCCAAAATGATATCTCTTTAGGGCAGAATGCTCTCGGTCATGTCCCTCCGGCGAACGCGTCCCTTGGTCTCGCGCCGTCTCGTTTCGCTGAGCTCTACGGCCTCGGAAGTGACATGGAACCGATCCTGATGAAGTATCGTCCATATGACAGCTCGACACATGAGTTTTGCCTAGAGACTCATGCCATTCGACGCGTCCTCGACAAGGACGACGGCCAGGAGTACCCCCTCACGTTCCATGTGGCCGCCGATGAAAAGGCCCTGGATGCAGACGTCGACCTCAGCCAGGTCACTGCCATTGAGAATTGCGTTACCCCCCATGGACCGACCCTTTTGGACTTGTTTTGGAGACACGTGCAACCGTGCTATCCCATCCTATCAAAGGATGTCTTCATGCAAATATACAGGCGTTCTTTCAAGTGTGTCCCAGCCGCGCTGCTGGGAGCCATCTATCTCTCTGCGCTTCGGTGGTGGGGGTACGATGCTGAGTTATCTCTGTATCCTCCTCCCAATGCTGCGACTCTCCGGAAGCTGATATATAAGTCGCTTCCAATTTGCTACCACCGCCCTAAACTATCCTCCATCCAAGCCACCCTCCTTCTACTGCAGTGCCAGCCCGAGGATCCTCTCAACCCTGGCCATACTTTCCAGTGGGGTCTTACATGCCAAGCTCTGGCAATCGGCCAGTGCCTGGGGCTGCATTTAGATGCCAGCAGTTGGTCAATTCCGCCATGGGAGAGGAATGTACGCAAGAGGCTTAGCTGGGCGTTGTACATGCAGGACAGATGGACGGCCCTGGCCTATGGAAGACCCGTTCACATTCATGATGATGACTGGACGACCGAGGACCTTACCGACGCTGATTTCGCAGATAATGAAGATCCTCCGCCACTGAACCAAGGAGATAAGCAGAGATCTTTCGTCTTCACTGGTATGCTGCAGTATATACACATGGTCCAGCTCACCAAGATCCTTTCTTCGGCGCTGTCAACCTTCTATACTGCTCGTGCGAGCCGCGGACAAGACACTATTCTATTATATCAACGGGCCCAACCACTATTCGAGGCATTAAGGCAATGGAGTAATACCATTCCACCAGAATTGCAGATGGGCATCACCTATCAGAGGAAGCTATGCTTCCATGGCTATCTTCACTTTTCCTACTTTGGGGTCATGATAACCCTGCTACGTCGTCTTATTCGCTCGACCATCCTGCCCCCTCGATGTGTAGATGACCAAGTCCTGGCTGACATCCGCCAACTCGCGTTACAGACAGCGCAGGGCGCGATTTCCTTTGTCACAAACCTGCGTCCCGACCACCTCGAGGCATTCTGGTATTTCACGTCCCCGTACCTATTCTCTCTGCTGGGCTCGTTCACCACCCTCTTACTGGTCACATCGCTCTCTTCGCAAGAGCGAAGCTTCTGGCAAGAGACGCTAAACTCGTACCTGTGGACGCTACGGGTAATGAGCAAAAGCAGCGGGCCAATGCAGTACGCAGTCAACCGACTTGAAGGCGCGATACTTCGGGGCTTGGAGCACTCGCTGGCTGTCAATCTGAATGAGCCGATCGATGATAATGTCGGTCCTGATCTCGCCAGTTTTCACACGGCCCAAACCTATGAATTCACCGACTTTGGCGACTGGGACTTGGCAGCTGATGGGGCGTATGATCTGTTGAGTGGTATGATCTTGTCACCGGAAGGGCTCACGATGAGAGGTGATGCAATAGAAGGGCGGGATATTGTAAACTAACTACTGTATTGACCATGTAATATGTAAGTTTATCAATCTATCATTACAATAATGAGATTTAGTCTTATGTCTTCACAGAGAGCATGCTGAGATCACTGAGCGACATTGAGCCATCCTCTACAAACCAGCCTAGTCGCTTTGTTTCTCCCGTGGGTTTGGCCGAACGATAATGGAGGGGGAGACGCCAGGTTATGGAACGGCCTCCACAAAATGCTTCAATGACTTGCCCTCTCAATAATAGAATTACTCCGTCGGAGACGTCTAATTCTTCGTGTCTAGTAATCTCGGGACCATCCACGGGCCGAGGAAGATGGATGTTATACTGGTCGGCCCAAAAGTCATCTAAAGACGGAAAATCCACAAGCAGCGACATCGAGAAGAGGCCAGACGTCGACGGCTCAAACCGCAAAGTGTAGCCTTTTCCTGTGTTGTCATGCTGAAACACCACGCCGCAAGCGTGAGCGTCACTTGCGAGGCGGAAGCTGACTAGCAGATCCCGATCTTCCTCCTGAGGACTAATCTTGGGGAAGTGGTTGACGGTAGACCCGATAGAAGTTAAATCCAAGGTTGGGCTGATGCCAGGTGTCAATGGTTGCGAATACTGCCGAAGGTAATTCAGGTACGTGCTGGCTACTTCGAGCTTCAGGCAGCCTTGCTCTCCGGCGGATATTTCACGAGGAACCCCAAGGTCGCCTCCCCATAGCCACTTCCCCTCCTCATCGACATAGTCGCCCACCCAGCCAAAGTACACCCGCCTCTCGGGATCTTTGGCCTTGGGGCAGGACTTGGCCGCATACCACCTCCTTCCATCCAGCCTCCCATGCGACCCGTCTCTCGGGATGCGAAAAGGCCCTCGAGGGCTATCGGCGATGCGATACACAGTTCCCGCGTTTGGTGCATGGAACCTGGAGTAGACCAGATACCATTTGCCATTTGGGAGCGGGAACATCTCCGGACATTCTGGGCATAGCATATCATTGGGTGCATACAGAGGTTCGGGGTCGAGCTCCCACGTGTCGAGATTTGTTGATCTTAACAGTGCGATACACCCTCTGTACCAGTACGAGCCGGCAGCGAGGCGCCTCGAAACGAGCATCCAGTACTTACCCTCTGCTTCATTAAAGAAGATGTAAGGGTCTCGAAAATCAATCTCCTCGTACTGCGACCCATCTCCATGGATAGTGATGACTTTCGCTTCTCCCTCGAACACCGTCCCGTGCGCATCGCTTGACACCACTCGCAGAATCACTTGCTTGCCGTTCTGTGAGAGGTTGTAACCAGTGTAGAAGATGTTCATGCACCCATCTGGTCCCTGGACGGCACATCCAGTCCACGCCCCGTCAGCATCGGGGTCTGACGAATTAGCTCCTGGACGGAGAACCATTTCTTGGTCTCTGGTCCAGTTTACCAAGTCTTTCGTCTTGAGTCGTGACCAGGTAGATCTGAGACGGGGAGGGTGGTGTCTTGTGAACGGGGGTGTTGTGAGATGGAATACATGATATGTGTCATCCACGAGGATGGGAATAACATCAGCAGCCGCCTGAGCTGCAGATGGACGGCTGTAGAGAGTGTCTTCAGCAGGAGGTGTTGGCACCTGGCGGTGGGGGTCTTGGTGGTTCGTTGACCCCATGATTACAGGAAATCGAGACTTGGGAATTGTCTTAGGAGTGAGCTATGAAACAGTCCTCCATATCCAGGATACCACACAAATAATATACCTTCCATGAACAACCCACGTCCTTAATGGACCCCGGATGAGGAACGCCCTCTGATGGTATGCTCTCCCCGACGGCAGCCATGGCCCGGCCGTCGCTGGACCCTCATTGATGATGCCGGCCGACGGCATTCCAGATGCGGAAAGGCGACGGTAAGGATAGTTCACTCACGTCGAACCAGAGTTAAGAAGATATCCCGATGTGGATCAGTCTGGGGTTACTAGTCCCACAAGGAACACTTCGCTCCCTCATCAGCAGTTCTGAACTCTTCATGTGGCCCCAGAAACCAGGCCGCTGGGACATTGTCTGGGGTAATTTCTCCATATTACGGAGCATGGGATGTTGGTCCAAAAAATCCGAAAGGCAAATGACTTTGACTCCTGTGGCGGCTCTGGGGATATAAGACCCGGGATGCCTGCTCTCCCATCACCAAGAATATTCAACAACTAACCAAACCCATACATAATAAACATCGGTATCACCATGGCTAAGATCAAGTACCCCTACGTCTGGCTCTTCTGTGGCTTTGCTGCCCTTGGAGCCTGTCTTTACGGATATGATGGAGTGTACTTCAACGGCGTTTCGACACTAGGTAGGTTCTACCGACCTGTTAAAGATGGACGTTGATTCTGACAGTACGCGCAGATGTCTTTGTGAGCCACTTTGGCCAGCTTAACTCCCATGGGGAGTACGAGATCTCACCATCCAATCTCGCCGTCATGACTTCCATGATCAACGTCGGCGAGCTTCTGGGATCCCTCACTGCAGCGCCCCTGAACGACTTCTTGGGCCGCAAGGGTGTCTTTCTTGTTGGAACCGTGGCGATTATCATCGGCGTCATTATGCAGCTTGTCACGACGTCTAGTCAATCCCTGATTACAGCCGGCCGAGCGATTTTGGGATACGGAGTTGGCGCTTTCTCAGCCACTTCTCCTTTGTACATGGGTGTGCGTACTTATTTTCTTCGCCTCCAGTATTTTCAGAGTTCTTCTTTTTACGGCTATACCTAACTTTCCATAGGAAATCGCGCCAGACTCTATGCGCAGCCCCCTTCTCATGTGTTGGCAACTGACGCTCTCCGTCTCTCAAATCATCGCCGCCGCCATCAACCGCGGCGTCGTCAATGTCGAGACAACCTTTGCCTACCGCTTCCCCATCGGCTTCCAGCTCCTCTTCCCAGCAATCATACTCATCGGTCTCTACTGGGTGCCAGAGTCTCCCCGATGGCTCCTCCGCAAGGGCAAGTCCGAGAAGACTGACAAGGCACTGCGTCTTCTCCGACGTGAGGACAAGACTTATGACCCGAAGCCTCTGATCGACACAATCCAGGCAGATCTGGACCGAGAAGCCGAGCAGGAATCCGACGGCGGCTGGATGCAGCTCGTCACGGATCCCGTGGAGCGGCGCAAGGTGGTCTACAGCGCCGGAGCCCTCATCGCCCAGCAGGTCAACGGAATTCAGTGGTTCTACTATTTCGGCACCGTCTTCTCCAAGGCCATCGGGCTGAGCGACCCTTTCCTCATGACGCTCATCGTCTTCATCATCCAAGTGTTTGTCGTCTTGGCCGCGGTGCTGCTGGCCAACAGGCTCCCTCGACGGCCGTTGCTGATGGTGACCACCGGCATCATGACCGCTTCCATCTTCGTCGTGGGGTGTCTTGGAATCCCGGGAAACAACCCTAGCGATACAATTGGGAAAGTGATTATCAGTTTTGTCATTATCGAAATTGCGGCATTCAACTTTGCCTGGGGTCCTCTGGGCTGGACCATCGTAAGTCATACCTCCAACCTCCATCTATAAATGACTGCTAACGTGGCAAACAGGCGTCCGAAATGGCAGTGGGACGTAATCGAAATAAGATCTATGCGGTTGCCGTGGCTTCGTTCTGGGTCACCGTCTGGGTCACCGTCTTCACCCTTCCGTACCTGTACTACTCTGCCAATCTAGGCCCCAAGACTGGATTTGTGTACACGGGGCTTTGCTTCATCACCTGGGCGTATGTGTACTTTTGCGTGGGAGAAGTCACTGGACGCAGCATCGAAGAGATCAATGGTTTTTTCCGAGAGGGCATTCCGGCAAGGCACTGGAAGAACCAGCCTTGGAAGGGTCAGCCTCAGAATGCAGAAGGACTCGAGGAAAGCAAAGAGACCAGTGTTATGGAGGTTGACCGCAAGGTAGAAACGGCTTGAGCGGCGACGCAGCCGTTTTGAATGCTATGAAGGACGGGGATTTACACTGCTTGGGTCTTTGATTGTGAAAAGTGGTGGCGTGCGACCGGAATAGCTGAAAAAAAAAAAAAAAGCTCCAATAACCGTCTTACTCCATTATAACTCTTGTATATAGTGTGGAACATTTGCCCTTTATTTATACCACCGTACTATTTATACAATCATCCATTTAATCTAGCTATTACGTGATGACGATCATAACCCTGGAGTATTTGATCAACGGCGAGATCGTTCGGCTAGGTTGACCTAAGCTTTTTCTTTTCTCAACTCATAGATCCAATATCTAGAGTATCTTCGGCCCTTCTGAGTATTGAAAACGTTTATAGTTTAGATTTTGCACTGCATTAGTCACAGTTGCATAGTTCTCTAGCACCTTGGTGACTTCCGCCAACGTTTCTGCACAATATCCTTCGCAGCCATCAATATCTTGTGTCATGTCGTAGCACTGTTTGGCGACTTGTACGGCCCTCAGTCCCAGCGATGTTTTGACATTTCTATCAGCGCCAAGATCAAGAAGCTGGCGAAGGCCCTTGATTTTAGCAATACTACCCACTCCGTGCTTGGAAATTTTGGGGTCGAATGCATCTTGTATAAGTCGGTGGACTGGGAGGATCCCTCCTTTTCCTGGATTGTTGATGTCGAGTCCGCCATCAACCATTAATAAAATGACGCTTCTCATCGGGAAGAGACCCATTTCGTCATCATATCGGTGCCAACATGGGGCAAACCATTTAATCGAGTGGAGGGGGGAATCACCTTCCATGGTTCTGAGCGTTGGATCACATCCTCTTGCCAAACACTGTCTAAGAAGCTCGAAGCCATCCTCCGGAACGCTTAGGATCCCCTGCAAAATTAAGTGAAGTATCGTGCGCCCGGTCTCATTCTGTCGGTTTATGTCGACTTTCCATTCGGAAAAGATCAGTTGCAGTGGCACTTTGCAGGGTGTGGAAAGGTGGTAGCCTTTAATTAGTGCCGAGATGATCCCATCATGATCATCGGTGCTGGCACCGTAATCGGCAGCAAGCATTCTTGCAATTTCATAACGCCCCCCACTAATTGCAACAATTAGAGGGGACTGATCCGCGATTAGAGCATCTACTTCGTACCCATATCTCTCTAGAAGAAGCCGACACAGCTTCTCGTTGCCCGTTACGATAGCGTGATACATCAATGGAGGCCTCGATGTTGATGAAGTAAGATCCCTTTTGATAAACTGTTTGCCACCTTTCGTTTCGGATAGGAGCTCAAAGATGTGAAGGCAATTAGGTGCAGTGGCAAGGAACATATCGTATCCCATAGCGATGTCACCAAGCGCGCCGAACTTCAATAGCACCTCAACGAGAGCATAATGTTGTCTCTTGATTGCGATAGCAAGCGGTGTATCTGGCGCTGGCTTGTCAATAAATCTTTGGAAGGTAAGCGGATCTTGACTCTTCAGTTTCAAAACCTTCTCGACCAAGGCAACAAGCCCTTGCTCACATGCAAAATGAAGTATCGGCTTTCTAGGGCGATCTTTTTGGAAACGCTCCCAAAGACCTATAAAGTTCGGACGATCTAAACGCTCCCAAAGATCTCTAACAACCGAATGATCTGCAAAGAATGGCTCGTTTTTGTCAATTAAGTGCAACAAATCTTTGTTTTTGAGCTGTTTCAAGTGGTATCTCCACGAAGTTAATGCGTAGTAAAGCAGGGAATACGAAGTATATGGTTGAAAACCTAGCTCGGGTAAAACTCGAATCCAGTCCCTTTGCATTGAATTCAGAAGTCGTTCCATAATGAAAAGATTACCACGGGCTTCGTGAACTTGGAATGACTTAATTTTCTGCGGTACGGTTTGTTGAGTTAGAAAGTCTTTCGCGCTCTGATGAACAAGAGTAACCGTTGAGGAGTATTTCTGTGTGGAGTTGAACGTTGATTTTTCGTTTTCGATTCTGTCCTGCGAAAGTAAGGAACTGCCATTATCGTGTACTTGGAGTAAATGGCCACAAGTCTCGATATGATACAGGCAGATTTGGTTCCGGGATAAATGTTCTGAAGCCTGGATCCCCACCGCTTCAGCTAGCTGTGCCACCTTCAGTGGTTTGGAGGACAGAGCTACCCAATTCAAGATGTCCGCGATGATGGCCATATTTTCCGGTTGGATTTGCAAGAGAATCCGTTCGTAAACCTCATCAAGACCACAGGGAAGACTATCCAAGGCCTTTTCAATACTGGCAACACTCTTCTTATGGAAATCCTCCATCATGAAACTGACCCAAAGAAATGTACCTTGGGACTTTTCGCGGAAAGTCTCCCCAATGTGATTAGCCAGACTTTGTGGAATTGACCGTTTCTTGGTGAGATCAGCTAGCCGAATTGCAATGTAGGAATATATGTCGCTTTTAACATTGTTTTTATGTGCTGAGTCCAGGCTGATCTGCGTGAATGAACCCAAAGCATTCCCGAGGCAGTTAGGGTACCTCCTGCTGACGACGATCAATTTTAGTGTTTGTTTTCCGCCATGCTTGTTAAACAATGACTCTATTTTCCGAAGAAGCTGGTGTAGAGAATGTTCATCGCACTCATCCAGGCCATCAAGGACACAGTAAAGCTCGGACCCTTTCAAATTTTCAACCATGGATTGGAATATTCTCCAAAGACTTTCAAATCCGGTGTCACTGAACAATTCAGACCCTTGAAGCTGCCAATGTCGCACAAGATGCTTCACGAGCTTGGGGTGTCGCTCGATCAGCTGATGCATGATTCCGCGAAGAACAGCCGAGCCTTTGTTGCGAGAAGAGAGCTTATTATCGCAGAAGAAATAAATCAAGGTGCTCCCGGCTTTATTCAGAATCTCGGTGAGATAGATGGAGAGGAACGTTTTGCCTTTTCCAGGCCCACCGAGAATCCAAAGAAGGCCAGAGGTAGATTGCATCCACTGAGTATACTCACCAGTGGATGTGATCCATTCGCATGTGCCGTCGACCCTATCTCCCTTTGCAGTGATGATTTCATCACGGTCGCTAGCTGGACTTGTCAGAAACAGCTCTCGGACGCACTGAACCTCGTCATTACTAGGCTGAAATACCGGTTTGATATTAGCCTCATCCTGCTCAAGGTGATGTGGTTGACTGCTGGCTCCCTCCAGCGATGCTGATAGCCTAGCGTGTGAGCCATTTCCAGCAAGACTTCCGCTCATCAATGGTTCTACAGCTTTATAGCTTCAAGTTAGCCACTACCCGTTTCTAGAGATCGCTCGCACCTACGATGTTCTGCGAACCTACGAAGCACTACATCCGGTGCCTCTGTTGCCATCCGCTTCAATTGGTTTAGTACCCGAGAGTAAGTGTCATCGACCTGGTTTGCGAATTTGACCAAGCTGGAGTGATCCGCGTCTATAGCATGCTTGTTTATTTCATTGTCTTCCAGGCCAATTTGGCAAGCTGACTCCTGCGTAACCATGAATTTTGGGTCGCCAGAGGCAGAGATGGACCCATTGTCGGTCCTCTAGATAAATATTAGCATAGAGACACTCGAATAACGGGCAAAGAACCTACTTTAATAGATCGCGTTTTCCTCAGCTCATAATATAGAATGACCTTGGAAGGGTGCGCTTGTGATTTACAGTTGTCGAGGAATTTCTTCCTTAGTTCTCGAAGATAAGGAGTCGGCTCGCCCTCGCTGTCTACTTCGAGATCGTGTATTAGCTGTTCGTTGGGCTGCCCAACCACAATATCTTTCAGGCTCCCGCGTCGAATGCCATGGTTCGGAACACCGAAGAAGACGAAGCCATAGGCGGACTTGCAAAAGTCGCCGTATCGGTCATCACTAGCAGCGTTGTGCGAGATTGCCAAAGCCTGCGTCAAGTTAGCTTCAGAAAAGGCACTACTTTAATAAAAGTGAACACAAACCTCTTTGATTAGCAGCCCACCGAGGCTATGTCCAATGAAGATGATTGGCCTCTTAGATGTATCCGTGTCGTCACAAAGGCTATGAAAGAGTCCAAGAAGGTCTTGGCCAAGTCGCTAATGGAGTATTTTGCATCGGTGGCGGCAAGCGAACTGTCATAGCCATATGTCAAAAGTCTAGCGTGGGGGATGTCCTCTGGGAGGAAGTCGCGGACCCAGTTGGTTGTTCCATTCTTCACTTTGAAGCCACCGATCGCATGGCTCCCCAACCCTGGAACAGTGATGATGCTACAACGGCGTTAGCTCTGATACTATCCCTCATCATCATCTGCAAAAATCCTACTCTACCATCGAAAGCTCGTTTCCATGCAATGGTGTTATGCCAATGAAGCCGTCATCAACAGGAAATTTGAACGTCTCAAGGGCCTCTTGTAACACAACGGTAGAAGTGAGCCAGCGGGTGCGTGATGGCGCAAGAGTGATTCGTGGCCCATTCACTGGAGTTGACAAACATTCATTGATCAGTTTCTTTACTTGATCTTCTGTGGTTGCGCTTGGTATCCCCTGGATGCGATAGCATTTTGATTTAGCTATGCCGGAATTCGAGTGCCGTTGATCACGCGAGCAGGACATCCTGTTGCGAACCCGAGGTTGCTCAGTTGCGGCATATGTCGAAAGTCAGATTGTCCACCGCCTCTAGGGACTGAGAGACTGTCCACCGCCTCTAGGGTCATTCTCAGTCATGCATTCACCATCGGACGGGCGAGCTCCTGGAATATGTGCTATCCTATGCAAACAGCGCGAGGTGCCCAGCCATGCGGCTGAGCTCGTTTGAGACACATGGTCAGCTGACTTCCGAGCCTCCTGCCAATACACGACGTACCATTGCCGGTAGCACAGGCTTGGTTTACATGTACGACCTCCTAGGGGAATGGGGCTACCTTCGAAGCGATCATCTGGAGGAATCGGATTGACAAAATGTATGGATGCTGCAATCACGAATCAACCTTGTACAACCATCGCAATACGCTACTATCAAATGATGAACCTATTGCAGTTCGACAAACTGAAAACCAAGCAGGTAAACAAGGTGGGCGGCGCGATATCGGATCGTGTATCTATTGCTACAGCAAGTGCCAATGACCCCTTCCTCACTCACACCAAAATTTCCAATACAAAAGAATTAAATGACAAAGATTTATGGCATATCAGTATAGAATATCGTCAAGAACCAGATAAAAGACCCAGAAAAAAAGGCAAAAAAAAGGCAAAAAAAAGAAAGTCAGAATAGCAATTCTACGTTTCGATCGTAGGACCTCCGGGTTATGAGCCCGGCTGGATGAATGTTAGTTTTGGGTTCTAGTGCGGTGAGTCATAGAATGTTACATACCGCGCTTCCACTGCGCCAAATTGCTTTAGCATCTGAGCTGTTCTCCGAGGCTTCAATTTTTGCTAGATATAGTCATTACGTTCCGGCAACCAACCAATTGCTCAACGACTTCGTCACTACGACATTGATGTGACAAGTATACTAAAAGAGAGCATCCTTTGGTGAATTAGTTACCTTCCCCTCATGAAATAGTCGAGAAAATGCACTTCATTGAGCCGTATACGTACTATTCCACACACCCGCCTGCCAAACTAATGTAACCCAACGCTCATGTTCCGCGAAATGAAAAGCTCTTAACCATTTACACTCAAACTGATGATTCAAAACTCAAAACGCACAAATTTCCATCCCAGATTTTCTTCGTCGCTCATCCAACATATGTGCCATGCTTTTATATATACAACCGAGAGGAACAACAGTAACATTTAATCACGACCCCCTCACCTCCCTCACAACCGACTCCAGCACCTGGCGATACCGCGGCATGTCCGGCGCCTCAGCGGCCCAGAAGTCGAACTGCTCCAGCACCTTGCCCAGCTTGCCGCCGATCGGCGCCGTCACGCCCATGCCCTCTCCCGGGGTGCTGACCCCCCACAGCGTCTCGTCCCCTCCCGGTATCCAGGCCACGTTGCCACTCTTGACGACGGCGAGGAGGGTGAGCGAGGCGCTCATGATGGCGCGGAGGTCGAACCAGAGCCCGTGGTGGCGGTGCCAGCGGGTGCGCACGTCGATGGTCTTGAGTGAGCAGTCTATTCCCGAGCGGATGAGGGAGTGCAGGATGGGCAGGTCGTCCATGTCCAGCGCGAGGGCCTGGGCGGCGGCCGCGGCGTTGTTGGCTCCGGACAGATGGTGGTGGTGATGTTGGTTGTGCTGGTTGTGCTGCTGCCCGGCGGCGAGGTAGTCCATCGAGGGCGTGGAGCTCGCGGCCGGGGACCACGGGTTGAGGAGGCTGGTGACGGGGTTGTTGCTCGTGGGGGTTGAGGCGGAGGCGGAGTTGTTGCGGCGTGACTGGCCCGCGTGGCAGAGGTAGTAGAGGAACGGCTGGTACAGCCAGGTCTGCATCTCGAGGAGGCGGTTGTCGATGGCCCAGCTGAGCTCGCGGGAGACGTGGCTGCTGGTCCGCTCGCTTGAGTAGTCCAGGTGGGGGGCCCGGATGACGGATTCGCTTTCGTAGGTTTGCATGGCACGGGGGAGATGGGCGGACCAGGAGGATATCTGGCTTTCGAATTCCTGGCCTATGCGGAGGAGGGGGCGGATGTTGTGGAGCCATGCGGATTGGTCTGGGTCGTGGAAGAAGGTGTTGATGATGCGGTTTCCAATGCGGCGGAGGGCGATCTCGGTGAGGTAGTAGTACCAGCTCTCTTCTTCGTTGCAGAGGCGCTGCGAGTGTTGCCGGAGCTCCAGTTGCTCGGGGGTCAGATGAGAATGGCTGCCGCCGTTGCCCAGTATCCCGCCACCGTCGTCGGTCGTGCTCGCGTCTGCATTCATGGGAACAGGAGATGGCGGGGAAGGAAACAGGTTCGGGTATTCGCCCAGGCTGATTTCAGATTGGGGGAGAGGAAGCTCTACGCGGAATTCGCACTCGGACTTGAAGCAAGACCAGTAAAGGCTCTGCTCAAGACGGCGGGCTTTGCGGCCTGCTGAATCAAGAGTGTGTGGCGGCGGCGCGCCTAGAACCTCTGCAAAGGTATCGGAGAGACCATGTGTCATACGAAGATCGAACTGACAGAAGAGAGACGCTTGGTAGAAATAGTGCCAGGACTCGAGGGGGCGTAAAGTATACATTAGGTAGACACCAGCGAAGAAGTGGCATTGGGCGCCCAGGAGTGAGTACTTGAGTGATCCGAGTCGTCGACACGCGAGGGTGAAGCAAGAATCACCCAACTGCAGCTCCTGAGAATGAAGACCGACTGAAGTGTTGGATGTCTGCCGAGGCGCTCTCTCGTGAGTAGGAGAGTGGCCATTGGGTAGTGCTCTGTCGAAAGGTTTTGAAACTGCACCAAGTGCGCAGGCCATGAGAACAAGACAGGACCAACCACCCCAGCCCATTCCATGTTCTGAGCATCTTCGGCTGTGCTTGATAAGGGACTCTACATCAAGAATCGGGTTTTTGGTGTAGACATTAGTAAGAAAACAGTCGACGAGCGACGGGATCTGCTCCTCATTTAGATGAACGAGCCCTCTCGCTGAGGCAATGAGGTCAGGGACCGGCGTTCTGCCTGTGGAATTCCGGTCACGATGATCTGCACTGAAGAGAACGCCAATGAGAGCGTTTGGCGGGTATTTTTTCTGCCAGATGCCCCATCGAAGGATTGTGTCTGCGCTGGCGCGTTGCGGAGGGATACGCAGGAAGTCCCTTGACGGCTCGAAGGAGGTCTCTGAGCGGGTGCGAATAGCCTCTACAAGGTGAGGAGCGCTTTCTTGAAGTGATGGCCGTGGGAACCGCCCTCGCATGGCCTCCTCATCTGCTTGTTCCAAATCTATTAGTCAATACACATCTGACATTCCGTTGTTACGGTGAGGGTAACAAACCATGAAAGGTGTTTTCCTGCTGGTGTTGGGAAGCTGTAGCCTGTTTTACAGTCTGCAACTCTTGCTGAAGATGATCAAGCTTCTCGAGAATGCTGTTTGTAGCAGACTCGAGCCTAGGAAAGTCAGTCTCAAGAATAGTAGACGATGATGCTTAAACCTACGTTATCTTGTCTGACGAGTCCCCGAGATACTCGCAGACGACACCGCTGGCTCGACACAGGGCACACGGCCTCTTCTTGTCACATTTGACTTTGCGAACACGACATGCCTGGCAGGCAGCTTGTCTTCGAGTGGGCTGAATCGGCCATTAGCATGTCGTATCATAACCAAGTGACTGTCTTGTCCGAACATCATGCGACGACGAGGAGGGTAGGTTGGATCGAGAGGGCAATCGTCAGATATCAAGACGAGGGGGAGAGTATGTACTCTGTGGTTCAGATAAGGGAGCGGACATGGATGGTCCGCAGAATGAGTGATAGGATATAGACCGCCATCAACAAAGCTCATTATTGCCGGTTAAGGCTAATCTGATGCAAGGCGGCTTAGGTAAAGCCCAACCAGAGCAAGGACAGCCAGCGGAGAGACGGGACAGCATGGAGGGCAGGTAGGACAGGACGGGTGTGGTGAATGGCGCTCTGGCAGATGCAAACGGCAACGGAAGTGGTAAGACTTACACCGGCCGTCTGAGACGACTCATTGGCGCCCTTGTGCCTCTTCGCCGGGCGCTCCCCGAGCTCGTGGTCGTGCGGGCTGCTATGCGGCTCGTCACGGCCCGGCTCAGGCTCTGGCGACGACGGCAACATGTCGTGGGCGCTGTCGCTCTCCCTCGCCATCGTGGACGAAGAAGCCCGTCTCGTCTGATGGCTCTCTCCTCAGTCGCGCTCTCACTCAGCTGATGAGCGGTTTTCGGGGCCGCGCCTCCGGCCGGTCTGCCCCTTGCCTTGCCTTGCCTTGCCCTGGCCCCCCTCACGCCCCAACCGGATTGATTGCTGGGGACGGGAAATGGGGATCACGCCTGGCCCGGGTCGACGACGGGCAGCGATTACCATCCAGATGCTCCTCGTGCTCTGCAAGGCGCTAGCGGGGACAGTCTCGAGGGATTATGGGGGCGCGTTTCGGTGATGTCCAGAGATCATAACACGGGGAACTCGGAGTCGCACCCCGACGTGCTTTTTTGGCTGGCAGAAATCGTGATGTCCCACGGCCAAACGGTTCTCCGCTTTTTTTCCCAGGTCTCTTTTTTTTCTCTCTCCTTCTTTCCAGCGTCGCTCTTAATTTTAATACCCAGAAAATCGCCAATTCTCTCTACGGCCGGCCGAGGGTGGCGGGTAATCAATTCGCTAGTCTCTCCCCGCAGCGGAACCGTTAGGAAGAGCACGAGGTCAGCTGCCTCGAGCAATAGCAGCTGTCAATGTTACCCCGATGTCAACCTTATCATATCCTCATGTTGGCATAAGATCACATTTGTGTGGCAAGGCTCTACTCGCTCTACCACGCAAATGGCACGCCGAGTGTTGATTGTGGCTGCTCTTCCTTGAATACCTCAATCGTACGGTTATCTACTTCTTCATCTCGCATTGCCTCGCCAGCCATCCTTCGGAGGAAGACGGCGGCGCGGAGCCAGGGTGTGCTCCGGTCTGGCTGGTCCCCGCGCGTTATTCCGATAGATTCATTGATCAGACAGTCTCCCATACATACACCATCCTCAGGTCAATGCCGGTGGGCGAGGCGACAGCCGCATTATCGTGGAATTACGTACTAGGGCAGCCTGCGCGAACCCATGTCGAGCAACTCATCGGTCGACCGGGCCACCAATATGGACAGCCGATCTGCTTGTGATTTGATTTCTGAGCCGGCAGTTTCAGCCGGCAGATCAGAAGCTGGCGAAAAGAGGCTGCGCCGCTGTGATCGCTCACGTGCTTGCTTTCCCCAAGTCAACATGAGCGCGTATGGTATCACGAACGTAGGTATCTTGGCTACATATTCCAGACCCTTCATGGCGTCGCGTGAGGTGATGGGTCAAGAAACTTCCACGTCTTATATGCAATCCATTCAATAAAGACTTCTCATGACAACCTTGGGGGAGCCTCAGCCCTTAAGCGCTCGAATCATCACTCGCAAGCCGTCAAAGACTATCAATGCTGGGCCATGCTGCTGGGTCGTTTGGTTCCTTGAACCCAGGCAAAGGCCATACTTGTGGCGCTACTCACTGAATGTGATGAGAGCTGTATACACTCCAGGACTAATACAGCCGTGAGCCTCGTTTCAGTGTCTCCCTGTCGGCTGATCTCCAATCCCTCGATAATTTTCCTAGCCTCGGCCGTGGGGCGCTCGGTGAGAAAACATGTGTCTCGTGCTATGGCGCGACTTGTGTGTCCATCCAACCACGACTCATGTAAGCTAGCCACGTCGTCGGGCTTCGGGAACTTCACCCCACACAAACAATTCCCGGGGCGAATTGAGGAGAAAAGGGGGTAAGAGTAGGCAAAGATTAGTTAGCTGGTTGTAGATCCCTCTCCGCCGTCACCTGCTGTCTGGCGCCGGAAAAGACTCCCGAGTCCAGCAAGAAGCCATGGAACATTGTATCACCACAAACACGAGTGAGCTGTCTTGCTGATCTCCCTTGCATCAACCTCGCCCGTTAAGAAGTTCGGATTACCCAATTCGCTTATCAGCTGCATCCGCTATGCGAGTTTGGGACGAAGGGAGGGTATATGATGCATGAGATGTTGGCTCTGATAACCTCGGGTAAGTACACACTCACAACCACACGTCAGATTTACAAGTAGGGCCACTGCTCCTCTTACTTCATACAAACATGGAGCCCCAGGTCTCTTCTCCAGCTGGAGAACTTACTTTACGCGCTCCAATCACGGCTCTTGAAGCTCCAGGCTGCCGTATTTTATTTTCCGCCCTCTTCCCCACAAACTTCCACTTCCGGGACATGGCCCATGTTCAAACTTCACCTTTTTGCCAACGATGGATGATGTTGGGCATGAGGACAGACAGTTCATGATCTGAAAACGACCCGTTTTGGCGGGTGCTAGTGACGGGACTGAATCATCTCTGGGATTGCAGGCTCTAGGTGCCGTTCTTGGGCCCTTTATACTGGAGATTACCCTTCTTTCCAGGTCTCACCTCTCAGTTGGCCGTCTCAGTGTTACTTATTGCCCCATTGTTCATCTGCATGAACCATCAACATGCCATACTGGGTTCACGAACTTGAGGCATTTCTCCCCTGCCCATCATGACATCGTTGACCGCAAACATGATCACTTCATCCATGTGACCTCCCCCATCCGCGGTCCCACAAACTTTGAAGGAAGACTCTTACACTTCTCCATCCCAGTTGAGGTGGGACCGTGGGACCATCCATGAGATGTTACAGAGGAGAAGGTTAGCTTCGCGTAGCGCCAGCCGCATCGAACCTCGTCTGCCGGCCAATAGAGTCTGAGTTCCCGTTCGCATCCTCCCGTATTGGGCATCGCACCACCTCATGAGAGACTGATAAGTGGGATGCTTCTGATGATGTTCATGCTCAAGACAATGGTGATGGAGTCCCCGGGGGAACTGCTCCACACGGAGCCCCGAGTTTAAATAGAGTCGGTATCCCCCATCAATTATGAGGACGTTACTTGAAGGCAGAAACCTTCAATTGTCTTTGTTAAAAACTCTTTCACTCTCTTGCCCCCTCTTTAGTCCCAACCAATCCATGGTATTGGGCATCTAAGAGGAGATAATGGCAAACAACGACATTCTCAAAGGCCGCCTCGGCCGCTGGAATGTGGCACACAGGCTTGAAAAGTCGGCACTGCTGAACAGCGTGTGCTTCATGGCCGGCATCTCCATCTTCTTCTTCGGCTACGACCAAGGTCTGATGGGCGGTGTCAACACGGCCCGCAACTACGTTGAGCTCATGGACTTCGGCCACTGGGACGAGGAGGGCCGGATTGTCGTCGTCGACGACCCCGTGAAGCAGGGTTTCATCGTGAGTTTTGCAGGCTTCACCCATGGCGGGTTCGGCACACAAGGGCGACCGATGTTGCGTTGCATTTTCGAACTTTGGTTTCGACCCTGGTCTATGTGACAAGAGAGCTGGGCTAACCTTATCCCGGTGTGAAGAACGCATGTTATTATCTCCCTGGTACGCTGGTCGGTTGCCTGCTTGGCGGCTGGCTGGGTGACCGCTATGGCCGGACTACGACCATTGGAATGGCTTGTGTCTGGTCTGTCCTGACTGCGGCCCTCCAGTCTGCGGCCATGAACTCATCCTGGATGATCTCAGGTTAGTCCCCCTCAAAGGACGGTATAAGAGAGTGGACGAGAAAAATAGGCCCCCCAAACCCCCACGTTTCCCCCGTCTCTCATCCTCCGTTTCTGACCTCAACTTCGGGTTGCTAACCCGACATGCAGCTCGTGTGTTGAACGGCATTGGGACCGGCATTCTCAACGCTGTGACCCCAGTATGGGCCACTGAGACGGCGGCCCACACGTCTCGAGGCGCCTTCATTTCCATCGAGTTCACCCTCAACATTCTCGGTGTCATCGTTGCTTACTGGCTGCAATTGTACGTTCTCTTCCCACCCTCATGACCTATCTCCTCCCCCACCTCCGGGGTCCAGAGGAGGGGTAAAGTCATGCAATGTAATGTAACTAACCCACGATAACCCCTGCCCGCAGCGGCACCTCCAAGATGCCCAACCAGCAGTCGTCCTTCATCTGGCGCTTCCCCATCGCCTTCCAGATCGTCCCGCTGATCGCCCTCTTCACCGTCATCTGGTTCATGCCCGAGTCCCCCCGCTGGCTGGTCAAGGTCGGGCGCGTCGACGAGGCGCGCTACATCCTCCAGCGCCTCCGGGGCAGCGAGGGCGAGGACGGCGAGGCGGCCGAGGCCGAGGTCCAGGACATTGTGCGCATCCACGGCATGGAGGAGGAGACGTCGAGCCAGCAGTCGTACTGGGCCATGTTCTGGGGCGTCGGCTCCGGCAAGCTCCACACGGGCCGCCGCGTCCAGCTCGTCGTCTGGCTCCAGATCCTGCAGGAGTGGGTGGGCATCGCGGGCATCACCATCTACGGGCCGACCATCTTTACCATCGCCGGCATCTCCTCGCAGGACCGCCTCTGGGTCAGCGGGCTCAACAACATCACCTACATGTTCGCCACGCTCGTCTGCGTCTTCACCCTCGACCGCATCGGCCGCCGCTGGACCCTGTACTGGGGCGCCGCCGCCATGGGCGTCTGCATGTTCGCCGCGGGCGGGCTCGCGCGGGCCACCATCGACGCGGCACCGGAGAAGCGAGCGGGCGTGGGAGGGGCGGCCACCTTCTTCGTCTTCCTGTACACGGCCGTCTTCGGCGCCACCTGGCTCACCGTGCCCTGGCTGTACCCGGCCGAGATCTTCCCCTTGCAGGTCCGCGCCAAGGGCAACGCGTGGGGTGTGGTCGGGTGGTCCATCGGCAACGGCTGGTGCGTGCTGCTGCTGCCGACCATCTTCGATAAGCTCAACGAGAAGACGCTGTACATCTTTGGCGGGGTCAACGTCTTCTGCATCGCCGTCGTCTGGGCGCTGTACCCGGAGTCCAACCAGCGCACGCTCGAGGAGATGAACCTCGTCTTCTCGTCCGACAGCATCTGGGCCTGGGACGCCGAGAAGGAGTTTGCCCGCCTGAAGCAGGAGAACCCGGAGCTCGTGCAGGCCGCGCGGAGGGGGAGCCACGCTGCCGATCCTGAGATGGGCGAGCGCAAGAACAGCAAGGCCAAGGTGGCGACCACTGAGAAGGTTGAGCTGAGCTCTGAGTAAGTGCTCGCGGATGCACGGGAACAGAATAGGAAATGGAAAATGATTCTCTGGCGGTTGGGAAAATGTGAAAGTTAGGTATGGTGTGTGGAGGAAATACCCCGTTGGCAGAGGATATAATGCACGTACTACCACTAAGTTGGTAAAACATAAAAGGGTGAGAGGAAGAAAGGATTCACTTTCGACGTATCTGGTCATAGATAAGAACTAATGGAAAGTCAACTCGTAAGAATTGTATTTCAGATATCTCATGTTTGTATGTGTAATATTCATGCTTTCATCTACGTCGGAAATGCCAAAAGGGAGAAAGGAAACAACTACGCCAAGGGACCAAAGCACTTACATACTGAGGCAAGGAAATATACATAGTGGAATGGGTCTGCACACCCATGACCTTTGCTCTCTCATAGCTTTGAATTGTTCTGAGCCTGAAGCTCATCCGCAATCGCCCTCCCGGCGGCACGTCCAGAGAAGATGCACCCTCCCACGAAAGAACCTTCGAGCGCGTTGTAGCCATGGACACCGCCACCACCGAAACCGGCCACCTCGCCAGCGGCGTACAGACCCGGGAACTCGCTGCCATCCGCCCTCATGACGTTGCTGCTGAGGTTGGTCTCAATGCCACCGAGGGTCTTTCTCGTGAGCAGGTTGAGCCGGACGGCAATAAGAGGCCCATGGGCCTTGTCGAGGAGACGGTGGGGGACCGCCACTCGTGTTCGCTTCTCTGTCCAGAAGTTCCTCGCGTTGTTGATCAGCATGGCCTGGGCGTCCTTGGAGTATGGGTTGTCAAACTGAGCATCGCGGGAATCCACGACCTCCTTGATCTTCTCATATTCAAGCTCGGGTCCGTTGCGTTCCTTGCCGAGCTTGTTCATGCCGGCCACCAATTCCTCGAGAGTCTCACTGACGACAAAGTCGGCACCATTCTCTTGGAACTTCTGGACGGGAACAGGTCCCTTCCCGTTGAACAGTCGGCTTACAAGGAGTGTCCATATACTCTTGGCAGTCAGGTCTGGGTTTTGTTCTGATCCAGACAGCGCGAATTCACGCTTAATGATGGATTGGTCTAGGATAAACCAGCTGTAGTCGTAGCCGGTGCTGCAAATGTGCTTGAGCGTGGCGAGGGTATCCGAGCCCGGGAACAGGTACGGGGGCAATCTCTTGCCCGTAGCATCGAGCCAGAGAGACGATGGCGCCGGGAGGATGCGGATGCCGTGCTCAGGCCAGATAGGATCCCAGTTCTGTATACCTTCGGTGTAGTGCCACATACGATCACGGTTGATGATGTTGGCGCCAGCCGACTCGGAAATGTCGATCATGCGGCCGTCAACATGGGCCGGCACACCACGCACCATGAAGTCCGGCACCTTGGGGCCCAGCCTGTCAACGGGCCACGCAGCTTTGACGGCGTCGACATTGCCGCCGATGCCGCCCGATGAAACAAGCACGGCCGAGCCGTAAATCTCAAACTTGTCCACCTCAACCCGTGAAGATTTGACACCGCGGGGGGAGTTGTCCTCCTCCAGCACCCTGCCCCGCACTCCAATCGCCCTTCCAGTCGTCTCATCAATGATCAGCTCATCTACAGCGTGCCTAAACTTGAAGGACACGATGCCCTCCTTCTCAGCCTTCCTCAGAGGCTCAGCAAACACCCTGACCGTCTCAGGCCCAGCCCCCCAAGTAATATGAAACCGCGGGACCGAGTTTCCGTGCCCATCTGAGCGGCCATCTCCCCTCTCAGCCCACGACACGCCATAGAAGAAACCCAGGCCCCTCGCCTTGACGTACGGCTCCATCTCATCGGTGGCAAAGTCCACAAAGGCCTTGGCCCACTTGCGCGGCCAATGGTCCTCGGTCTCGCGGTCGAACTGGGCCGACCCGAACCAGTCGCGCATGGCGAGCTCGCGCGAGTCCTTGATGCCCAGGCGGCGCTGCTCGGTCGAGTCGACGACGAAGATGCCGCCGAGCGACCAGAAGGCCTGGCCGCCGAGGTTCTGCTCATTCTCCTGGTCGAGGATGAGGGTGGGCACCTTGCGCTGGGCCAGCTCGAAGGCGGCGACCAGGCCGGCGAGGCCGCCGCCCACGATGATGACGGGCTTGGGAGCGGCGTCATCTTTGGCGCCGTTCTCTGGTGCAGCCGAGGAAGCCGTCGAGGCCATTGTCACGGGCTGCTTATTTGGGGGCAATTGGGAGATGGAGGAGGGTGGATGCCTCGAGAGAGCGAGTTGCCCGCGCGAAGAGAAATAAATATTACCTCGGTAGCCAAGCACCTACACCAATTGAGTATATCGAGAAAGTGGTCTGATGGGGACGAGAGGTGCGAATAAAGAGGTTGGCAGATAGTCCGGCAAGCGGCATTACCCCCATGTAGATGTAGAGTGACGCGGGGGAGGAGTTGGCAGCCAAACTTGGGGGAGCTTCCGTTTTGGTTCAAACCCTCAATTGGGGTCGGAGAATCCGAGGTTGTAGGATGCCAAAAAGCAGTCCGACCCCGATTGAGCATGTGAAGGTAACAATGGGCCCAGGAAACAGGAAGGCGATGAGTTGGTGAACAATAGACGGATTTGCTTGTCGGTGTGGATAATCTGTGATGGGCGAGATGTGTAAACTATGCGGCCTCAATTTACCTCCCAACTATCTATTAGCTAAATTACTGTTATAAGCGAAGACTAATCATTTTCCCTTATTTTCACTCCTAGGATATTGGGCTCTGCTATTCACAGGCTCTCAATTCGCTGTGCTTCAGATTCAATCCTACCCTGTACACCATGCTGCATCATCAATTGATGATTAACCAATTGGCCAACCAAGACGCAATGCACAGGCGGCGTTTGTGAGGGATGTTTCATAAAGAATTGCCCAAAATCATTGGCAGCTTGGTGTTCCATTTACGCGAGTGTCCAGAAGATCATGGGTTTGGCACTATCAAATTCCTTGGACCCTGGATACTGCTGCATGCAACGTCAACGGAGCGAATCAGAGCCTCCCAATTCACCATTCGATCGGGAGTTGAGAACGCTCGATGAAGCCAAAGCCGACGGAAGGTTGTCTCAAAGACCGGTGGATCAGGCCATACGACAAAGCACCGGACCGTGGTCTTCACGGAAATCGCGACTGCGATGAGGACCAAATTGGATGACGCTGAATCACTGTGCTCCGCGTTTGCTCGAGGCTCGCCTTCTGTTTCTGCACGCTGTACTTTGGGACTCTAGCGCTAATGGAGTGTGCGACAGTCGTATTCGCATCACCACGGAGCGAAGGAAAGGCAGCCGCAACAGCACAGCCTCGTATAGTTATAATAGGCCGCGAGATGTGTCCCTGCCTCTCTTGTTACAGATTTTCCTTAACAGCAACTCCATTCTTGATCCATGACCAATGAATACCAATCTGCATAGCCGCCCGTTGACAAAGCTGAGCTTCAGCCAACGGAGCGGGTCTTGGGTGGCGCCGCCAGAAGTAGGCGCTTAGGCTCAGATCCCGTCGCGGGCAGGAAGTATCGCCAATCAGTGGTTTCAGGCTGCTGTACTCTGTACGGTAGGTACTATACGCGCTGAGGCAGCCAATTCACTGCACACGCGGCTCGTAGCTGTAATCATACTATACTCAGCGTTCCGCACCATCCGGCCGCGTGTTGTAGATCGTCTCAGATACATCAGCAGCCCTGAGCCAACCAAGAGCCGGCTGCCAGCGCGGTTAAGTTGCTCCGCCGTGTTTCAGTGAGGGCGATTGGATCATGAGAGTCTGGCCACCAAACACTGATCCTCGCCTGGCGCAGGCTCAGCCCTTCCGTCCACTGAGCTTTAGCGGGTACGAATTCGAGCTATCCGACCGAATTAGGTACCTTTACAGGCACACATGTTTCGATCGAGCAAACGCTCACGATCTCTCGTAGCAGCTGCGCAATGGTACCTCCATTCCAGTACCAGTACCTCTACAGCAGAGGCCCTTCAGCCAAGGAAAGAGCCCTCGATTCAATTTGTTCAGGCAAGGAAGCAGTGAATGTATATGATACGAATGATCAATCGCTCTTTCTCTTTTTTATTAATATTCCCATCGCCTTTCCTTTCCATTCCAGCTGTTCTTGCTCTCTCAGTCCTATTCCATCTATTCTTCGCATTTTGCCACTCAAGCTCGTCCCGCATCCGGCTCTGACCCCCCCCCAGTCCTCCCAGTCTTACATCCTCCGAACATTCAAGGAACTCTTCTTTTTTATCACCCAAATTCGCAACATCGTTTGATACAAGACTACACACTGTCCGCTTTGGCACGCTCCGGCACTGAACTCTCCGAAGCCACAAATTCAGATCACCCAGCATAACCATTTATTAATTCGCCAGTCCCACCCCGGTGATCTAATCCAGCCAACAACATAATACAGCATCCTCCCCTACTCGACTTGACTTGAGACAACCCAAGTTCCATCTCTTAAAGCACCAACAAGAACATTTACGAAGTCGAATTTTAATCAATCAACCACATAGACTATACTCATACCAACAGCCGTCACCATGAGCCTCAACATTGGACCCTTCGGAATCATGACCGTGATCCACGCCATTTTGGCGCTGTTTCTCATCATTGAACTTGGCCTGTCTGCTTGGCGTACGTATATGATCAACCTCATAGTGGCTACATCTCGGCCCATCCTCCTCTTTTCGTGTATCACTAGCTAACTAGCTCTTCTTTTAGTCGTTGATAAGAGCATCAGTTGGTACTGGTCTGGTTCTCCCATGTCCTTTATCCTCTTTGGATGTATCTGGTCTTTCCTCGTCCTCCTCTACGTCAGCCTTGTTCCTCGGTTCATCACCAGGATTCACATGCCCATCGTCTCAGTTGTCCTCACCAGCGTCACCATGATCTTCTGGTTCGCGGGCTCTACCGCCCAGGCTGTGCGTATTGGTATCCCCTCTTGCGGCAAGGATGGCCCATGCCAGGCAACCCAGGCCGTCGTTGCCTTTGGATACTTCCTGTGGGCTGGCTTCAGCTCGCTGGTTGCCCTTGAAGCCCTGGCTCTCTGGAAGTCGCGAGGCCCTGCTGCTCAGCCCTCTGCGGTTTAGACGTGCCCTGACGGCTGCGAGCATGCTGAAGCCGGCTTCACGCACTCGAACGAAAAATGTGGTTGAAATTGATGTTTTCTTTTCTTTCCCGGTGATAGAAGTACGCTGTGCGTACCAGAAGAAAGATGTTGGATTATGACAGGAACACGGCACAACACAGATACCCGCCCGACTGCACGCGCAGGAAAAAAATGCCATGACAAAGAACGGCACAGGGCATTTCATTTTTCTCTTTCTCAACCCTTTCTTCCTTTTTATTCTTTTTTTGGCGATACTATTTTCTGTTAAGAGGTATGGGCAAAGGACAACGGTTATTAGGGTTCATCATGAGGCGCACTTGTTATTTGATACTTTTTAATGACAACTTTTATTCACGATCACACTCGGATCCATTGTCTGACATTTTCTCTTAAACCATGCGCACACTGAAGTAATTGATTGATCTGCACTTGATCTGATGCTGCGGACTACTTACTAGATCCATTATTTTATCAAGGGAAGATATCTCTTTCATTGAATGAAGTGACACTTACGGCTGAGTGACCGGATAGCAGTTTACGTATACTTGGGTATCTAGGGTCTCCTAGCTTGACAACTTCGCAACGTCGAAACGTCAGTGTGTGGGACGGCTGTCACCGGAGCCACATGGGATTGCGCGGCAATTCACGATACTGTGGTTGGCTATTGAAGTCTCGTCATTGGGGAACTAGCAAGAGGGCTGAAGGTGGTGCTAAGAAATTTCTAGAACGAGGGCAGCAATGTTATTTTGCCGAGGGCATAGAAGATGCCTACGAGTGGGAGATGATTCAAAGTTTTAAATCAACGACCCTCCTACGTGTTCCGTCATAAGGCTTGGAGGTGAGACATGCTGCGGGCCGAAGTGGACGGATCGAACTCCGGACCATCGTTTGATCTCGAGTATTTCCAAGACCCACCGAGGTATCTCGTCGCAGGCATGTAACCAAGCTACGTATCATGGTTTTGTGTATTAGTCGAGTTAAGGCAAGGAGCTGCGCTACCCTTGGAGCCCAGATTCGGAGATTTTCGTTCATCCTGGTGCAATGGGGGTAGATCTGTTGGGAGCAGCTATGAGTGTAATGGCTTTGCAGATATACTGATGCGCATGACGCATGTGTCGTCGTTTTGCAGATGGCTAATGGCCAAGTCCTAGCTCCCAGGGGTTACTACCTCCGGGTAAGTTGGGAGTGGGTTGTGAACTGGAGTTTGGGTATCAAGTGTGGGCGTGGCGATCTCGCGGAAGAACGTTGGGAGAACTACAGCTTGGTTCAAATGTCACAGCCTGCACGGACGATGGATTTGATGAAACCCGTCAAGGGTAAACAACCATCATACTGCATTTGGCGACACAAGACAGCAGAGGCAATGAACGCCCGAATGGTAACACTATGAACGTGGTGAGTTCTGCGGATTCCGTGTCAGGACTCAATCGCTCGAGGATGGGACTCGCCCGCCAGGCCAGTGAACGATACTCACCCAGCAACCAAGCCAGTCGGTCGGTTGGGCCGGAGCGGCAGTGACTGGGGTTCCTGGCCAGGATGCAATATTGAGTGCTGGAGAGTTTGAGTGCTTGCAGGGATGACCCAAACTGCTTTGGGCTGGTTCCTCTGCCAAAACCCACCCTCTCGATCACACCCTGGTCTGACGGCGTCATTCACGCACCAATCAAACGGTGCGATTGCCGTAGCAACAGGGCAGTTCGTCGCCTCTTTCGCTCGTTTTCCTGATGCTGGCTTCCCACTTTGCGATCTGGGCTGTCGCCAAGCGGAGCGCAGGGACTTTGCTGCACATGTGGCTGGGCCGTCGGGCTGGGGAAGGAAGAATATGGCTCAGCACTCGTGTTGGAGTTGGAGCCCGAGCTGGTGTTTGCGTTCGGTTTGTTTGGTGTGACGGAGCCCAAGGCAACAGGTGGGGTGATGTGTCTGGTTCGTTGCTGCGAACCTGAGATGGAGATGATCATAGTCAATGGCCGAGACCTATATCGAAGCAAGGGAGAGCTGGTGAGGCAGAGCTGCCTTCGATAGATGGGGGGATCTAGGTCGACAGCCAAAGAGGCCGTGTGGGAGCAGAGGCAGGAGAATTGGAGGGGTTGGTGACAGCAGAACAAACCCTGGTCTAGCGCCCGCTCTTACTGTCGTTTCGTGCAGTAATTGCAGGCTCCAGGCCTGTAACGGACATGGTAGAAGCCTCTCCGCTGCGATATGACGACCAGCCTCCCAATATAATCGTGGAATCCCAACCCCGGATCACCCAGAAGATTGAGAACCCCTCCCAGCCAGCTAGTTTCTGCAGTCGAGCAATCTTTCATGCATGTGTGCATAAGCCCCGTCACTCGCACTTAATCCAGGCCAACTTCCCTTTCCCTTTCTTCTTTTTCCTCGTATTCCATCATCTTCTTCCCCTCTCCCCTCCATCACCCTCACCACCACTAGGCGGATCTCACCCGTTGTTCATCAACGTCTCTGTATATTGCCATTCCGTGCCATATACCCTCATTGACGACAGGTGACGAGAGGGATATCCTAACCCTCACTAAACCACACCGAGCCGCATTGCCTTGCATTGATTGCATCATAATCTGATCGCATCGCATTGCTCTGGTCGACGGTCGACTCCTGCCGCATACAACAGAACACCACACAAACCCCCATAATCAAGTCGCGTTCGCGCGCAGAACCCGCCCGCCATGCTCTTCGGAATCATCTTCGGCTCCAACCGCATCTTCCAGCTGATAACATTGGTAAGTCGAGCTTCCCACAAGCCAATCAGCCCTCCAGCAGCCATACTAACCCGAATCTTCTCCAGATCCCCATCGTGGGCATGCTCTCCTGGTTCGTCGAGGGCTTCACAAGCGCAAACTCCCTGACCCCCAACTCGATCCTCGTCCTCTTCATTGTCTCCGTCATCGCCTTCGCCTGGGCCTTCTTCACCCTCGTCCTCTACAACCGCTCCAAGCGCAACGCCCACTTCGTCGCCATCGTCGACGCCCTCATCTTCGGCGGCCTCATCGCGGGCGTCTACTTCCTCCGCGGCATCGCCTCGGCCAACTGCGTCGACGTCAGCGTCAACCGCTCCGACGACTGGACCGTCAACCTCGGCGACGTGCGCGTCAGCGGGCCCGGCGTGAGCGTGTCGTGGCGCACCTCGAAGCGCTGCGCCATGCTCAAGGCCAGCTTCGCCCTGGGCATCATCAACGTCATCCTCTTCTTCGTGACCACCATTGTGGCATTCTCGCACGGCGGCGGCTTCGGCGACTACGACGACTACGAGTACCGCACGCGCAGCCGGAGCCGCCACCACAGCGACAGGCACTCGCACCGCTCTGGGTCGAGGCACAGCCACCACTCGCACCACTCTCACCGTCGGGTGTATGTGTAGAGAGGGTTGTAAGCCTTTGTGGTGTGATACGTCAAAGGCTGGTGTTTCCTTTGGTAGGACACGGACGAATACAAAGTTTAGGACGAAGAAAAAACTACAAATAACCCAAAGAAGAAAATCAAAAAGAACGTGGTTACGTGCAAAAGAGAATAGAAAGAAGAAAGGAGTAGTCATGTTATGAATGGAATGGACACTTGCTTGGGACATAGGGAATTGGAATGTTAGGTGGATTTTTGCTGTTTGGAACCCCGCGGTTGGGAATCTCTGCCATTTTGGCCGGCTGTTTCGAGGGGGCTCGTTTATCGCCCTCAGCGTTTTTATATTTGTAGTGGAGGATATATTTTTGAGATACCCAGACGTATCGAACCTGTTGCGGTGCTGGAGCGCTTGCGCATGAAGTTGTTTTTGTATTTTGCCTGTTTGGCATGGAGGATGATGATCTGCAACTGGGCGCTTCGGTTGATAGAATCGGTAGTTTACGAGGAACGAGTCCAAACGAGAATAGAATAGTAGTTTCGACTGCCTACGAGATGGTCCCTTCTTCAAATGTTATACCTAGCAGTGTCAAAGTCGGTCGGGATCGTCGATGTATAAGATGGGTGGGTATCTCTGGTTGTTTCTTTATTTCTTTCTTTTGTTCGTTACTTTTGCTTAATGCCTCCCTACCTCCTCGCCTACACGGTATCCTCTTGCGATACCACTGAGGCCCTCCTCGATCACAGTGCTCGCTTCTTGATTTTCTGCAAAGTCGCTGCCCAGGCCCTGCCATGTTCTCTGGGAGCGTAGATACTCGGCACCAGGACTTGCCACTCCATTGATGCTCGCCAGCTCTCCAGGAGCTGCTCGTTTGACCAGAGCCGCGGATGAAGACCCCCCCTCGCTCGTCTTGTTTGCCTTGGCGCTGTGGACTGCCAACCGCATAGGGCGGCTGTGGCTGACTAGCCTGCCTGTTCGGAGGTCGTACTCAGGTGGCATCGACTCCTCTCCCTCCACGCCGTCTTCCTCAATGCCCTGGTCAACTTCTATACTCGCGCCATTGGTCTCCTTGCTCTCGTTGTCTTGTGCCTGGCTCTCGCCGTTTACTGCACCATTTGTCGTCTCTGGCTCGTCAAGTTTAAGCCGCTCGATACCTCCCCACCATTCACCACCCCATATCCTCTCCTCCTCCTTCATCAGCGCGACTTCCATCTCGAACGGAGTGATGACAGGTTTCCAGTACCCGCTTTCCTGGTCCTCGCCGATCAACCCGCCCTCCCAGCAGCCAACAACCACCCAACCCTCAATCTCAGAGAAGTTGGCCAGCTTGGCTGGGTTGAGTCGCCCCACGACGACGGTATAGCTCTTCTTGCCCGCGTCGGCGATGCGCTTGCGCAGCAGATCAATCGACGCAAGCGAATTGGCGACTGAGAGCGTGTTGACGAGAATCCCAATCACGCCCGCAGATGCGAGAGACAGGACACGGGCGAATCGACGGCGGAGCAGACCTGCTGTCCGCATCGTGGGATTCTCGACGGTGGTTGAGGGAGCTGGGAGGACGTGGAGGGAGGCGAAGCGTGGTAAGAGGGCGAGGAGGAGAGATGAGGGAGGGTCAGAGATGTGGAAGAGGGAGTGTTCTTTCAGGGTTTCACTGTCCAGGTCGGCGTCGGAGCCTGTGGCTATCCGTCGGTTCGGGATGATGCCTGCCGGGTCTCTCACCACCTCGGTGCCCAGCACGTTTGAATAGCCCTTTTCTCGTATCCGCGCTAGTAGCGGTTCTACGTTTTGCTGATATGTGAGGTCTGCCATGATGACAGCCTTGGTGTCGACCGCTGGGAATTCCTTGACGAAGCTCTCGACCGCCGAGTCTAGTTCCAGCTCCCGGCTGGTGTAAACGTAGATGACGGGCAGTCTGCTTGTAGGACTTAGGCAAGCCCGACCATAATGCACAACCACTTCAGCGTCTGCATGCTCTGCAGCCACTTCGTCCACACAGCATGCGCTGTAGCTCGTATCGGCAAGGATATATATTCTCGGGGGGACAGCTGCGACACCGTCTGCGCCAGCGGAAAGCTCGCGGGTCAAGGCTTCGGACACGCGGGGCGCGTCGACAAGCATGGAGTCTGCAAACTGGAGAGCGACGCGCTTCCAGGCGCCTTGTCGCAGTTCGGACACGGTTCGCGGGATCTCGTAAACAGAGTAGATGGCATCTTCGGAGAGGGTGGACTTTTCTTGGGCGGCGGCGGGGACGTCGAGGATAAGCTCGTCGGGGGTTGAGAGAACGGGAGGGGTGGAGAGGTCGGCTGCCATGGTGGACGCAGCCTAGAGCTACCTGCTCTCGGGGGGTTTGGGAGAATGGTATTTGTGCAACCTGGGAGATCACGTCGGCCTGGCTTTGGAAATCTTTACCTCTGGCCAGTGATTATTTTGTGATTTGGAACTTTTGGCGGGGAAGTTTTCTGGAAATTTTGGCGGCGACCCTGTGTAAAGGCGGGGTTGCGGGTGCCAATTGTTGGTGGCAGCCCTGTGCGAACTTGCCGCTAACACCATCTTGCCCTGCCTTACATCAGGCATTGATTGTTAATTTCCTAATCCAATTGCGTGTTGTATACATGATGGAAAACTGCATCTGCAGTTTCACTCTACTCAAAATTCCAGAATTGCTAGGTTTACAACCGGGCCAATAGACATGTCTCGAAGACATGACACCCAGTGACACAGGCTGTGGGGTGATCAATTATCCAATTCGACTGACTGTCAAGGGCCGGACCAATCGGAGATCAAATGGAACATTACGACAATATAAATATACATTACGGGCAGAGGGAGAACAAGCCCAATGCGTCCATGTGAGCATTGTCGAACAGGAATTCCACGGCGATTCTCAGCCCAATGGCAACGCAGCGTATTAATAATGAATCGTCGGCATCACTAGCGTCGTCCTTGGTCCCGGCACTAAGGTAGCAGACAGACGGGGTGCCGCTTTTGGAAATTCGTAATCTGGCGTCTCATACACGCATTTCCACTCTTGGATGCTTGACTCTCTGCCAGGGAAGACGGACCCTTAAGTTTCGACGGAAACGTGGGCCAATGAATGCTTTGCCTACGGCTCTTTGCCGGCCGGTCTGTTGCAATTGTGGAGGGAACCAGGTGGCCTTTGATAACGGCAATTTCCCAGCCCCCAACGCACGGCGGTCGTCACTGACCATGGCTGCTGCGCATAAGTATGGCCATGCTTTGCCTTATTAATAATAGACTCACGTTCCACCGGCCCAGTAAAGTATAATACATATACTACTGACCCCCAGTCAATTAGACAAAGGCAAACCTACCTAGATTTCGTGAGCACCGCCGAAGCGGGAGTGTCGTGTCACTTGTTTTCCCGTTTTGGGTGAGCGTCTATGCGGGTGAAGCACTCAGTTCGATATTCTACCATTTTAGTTGTCCTAGGGGCCCAGCCAATGGGGCCACGGGCCTGATCGAGCTAGGTCCCGAAAACGGTATCTCTTCTAGATCCTTGTCCGAGAAAGTTGCGTCGTCTAAGTTGTTGCCCATAGTGGTGCGACCAACGGTTGATAAATCAAGGCTACTGTGCCCTCCCTGTCAAAGATAGGAATCTCGTCTATTCACAACTGACGACTTGGGGACGTGTTGACCAACGTGGTAGTATACGACCAAGGGGCCTCACCGAATAAGGTTCTCACGTTAAAGAATCCAGCTCAAGCACTTCACAAGTACTTAAGGGCCTGGAATTCCCAAACTTCCTTACTTGCTATGATAAGTCGCAACAGTTCTCTATTCAAGAAACACGAAAGACAAACTTACCACTATGGGCCAGAAAAGTCATCCCTTAGAGGGGAAAGATATCATAGTCGCAGGTGCGGGTGTCGCCGGATCTGCTTTTGTTGCGGCACTCACCAAGCTTTGGAACCCCGAGCTGAAACAGCCAAACATCATCGTCGTCGAACGTGACCCGCGAGATGTTGTTCGCCAGAGAGAAGGCTACAGCCTGTCACTAACGGGACATGACGATACTAGCGGCCTGGCAGTTCTCAAAAAGCTGGGCCTCCTCGACAGTGCACTCGGAAAGGCTGTAGCGAGCACAGATGACACTGGTGCCTTCAAGATCTGGGGCGCAGACTGGACAGAGAAAACAAGCCTTCACCGGAAACCTGCTGAAGGGCTACCTACATCAACCATCCGCATATCCCGCAGGGAGCTTCGCGGACTTCTGCACAATACAATCCGCGACAAGAGCACAATACTGTGGGAGACGCAGTGCATCTCCGCCAAGGCTCTCGACAACGGCCGAGTGCAGGTTGAGCTCATGAAGAATGACGACGAGAGCGTACGATACGAGGAGTGCGACCTGCTCATAGCTGCCGACGGTGCCAGCAGCAAGCTGAGATCCTACCTCCGGCCCGACGATCAACTGGAATATCAAGGAGCGGCGTTGAGGGGAGGTCTCTCCAGGTTCGACGGCCCCTTGCCGGCCCCTCTCAACAAGGACTGGGGGTTCGCCCTGTCCGGGGATGGTGTGTCATGTTTTTACTCCCCAGTTGATGAGCATACGGTTGTCTGGACAGTGGGCAACCAGGAGCCAGAGCCGCTCCCTCCACTAGACCACTCTTCTGAAGCTGCTTGCAAGGCGGTAGTCGAGCGAGGGCGGGAGCTGGGTGCTCTCTTCCATGAGCCGTTCAACAACATCGTCAATAACACTGACCTGAGTGCTGTTCTCTGTATCAATGCAAGGGACAAGATGCCTTTTTGTCATGACGGCTTTGACACCCTGCCCGTCGTGTTTATTGGTGATAGCAACCATGCCCTGAGTCCATTTTCTGGCATTGGAGCCAACCTTGCGCTGGGCGATGGATGGGAGCTAGCGAAACAGATCTGCGCGGAGAGTCAGGTGTCTCTGGCGAGTGCGGTCAAGGCCTACGATTCCATCATCGTGCCTCGAACGACCAAGATCGTAAAGGCGGCGCGGAGACGGCTTGAGATGGGTCACAGCACTGGCTTCAAACTGTGGTTGTTTTATCTGATACTGGCTCTGAGTAGGGTGGTTGGGCGTATTGTCGGGGACAGGAGGAAATGATGGCGTTGTGAAAGTCGAGAGGCTATGTTTTATGATTGCATAATTGTCGGTAGCGGGCGCTTTTGATTTGATAATATTTTGCACGTTTCTTTTTCCTTTGGAAGGCGCGACGTGCGTCCTTCACGCGTTGCTGCCAAGGGGGAAGCACCTGTCGCTAATCAAGTATATTGCTAAAATCACCAGAGGAATCCGAATGGGAGAGATGAATGTTTAGTGCCATTAATTGGATCTATGCTCATTGCGATATCATCTTTGTCCGGCTGTTCCTCAGGTCTTTTAAACATTTCCATCTCTTGGACATTCTCCCACTTGATGACCTCCTTTTAAGAGGTAGACCCACTGAGCTGAGCTGAGCTGGTAGAGGGGCTCCTAGATCGCACTGTACTGCACACCAACCAACTCCACTAATATACAGTGTTATCTGTATATGCACTGTGAGTAACCTCTTTACGCGACCAGACCCTGGACGCGACGTTTGATGAGCAGCGATTCGCGCAGGACGCGCAGCAATTTATCTGTCCCTCGACCGTGCTAGTGACCTCCTCCCCTCAACCGTTCACTCCTTCATTGCAGTGTTTTTGCGCACTCTGATCACTTGCTTTCTCAATCCTGCATTGCGTGTCGTCCAATTCTTGCGACCCAATCTATTGTTTCTGCTGTTTGTGGTTCATTGACCGGGCAGCTGGTCTTTCTGTAGCGATGGCTGGTGAGAAGGTCGCCAACGGCAGCGCGGCTGCTCGCACACCAGCGAAGAGCCTCGGGGCCAAGTCCGCAGCGTCTGTTTCCTCCTCGGCCAAGCAGCAGCGCTCTATCAAGTCTTTCTTTCAAAAATCATCTCCCGCCCCAGCATCCTCGCCCGCAACCGCCTCCAAGCCTTCGCCCGACCCTGCCTCCAAGTCCTCGTGCCTAAAGGAGACCACCAAGAACAACTCTCTCCCCAAGACGAAACCAGCTCCCGCATTCAATCCCGCCACCAAGGTGAAGTTGTCCACACCTGTGCCCAGCAGCGACGCCCTGGAGCCGCCGAGTTCACAGGAGAACATGGATGCTGCCTCAGCCGATCTCCCCTCTCCCACAGTCCTGCCAACTAGGAGCAGCCGGACAGCTTCCAAGCCTATGAAGAAGGAGGTAAATGGAAGCAGCCCCTCGCGAAAGGCAAGTGCGAATGCATACCCCCGTAAATCCTGCCATACTATTTCTAAGACACTGACTGTTGGATTTGCAGACTCGCAAGGTCGTTAGTTACGCCGAGTCGTCCGACGACGACAAAGATCCGTTCGAATTTGAAGCCCCTTTAAATACAAGGCGCCGTGCTAGGAAATCGGCCGTTATTGACGAGGAGGACGAATACGACGAAGATGAGAACGCAGCAGCAGATCAGGATGACGGTTCGTCTCTCATGCACCGCCTCAGTCTCAACTGTGTACCTTTGAACTAACCCTGGTAGATGAAATGGACGATTTTATTGTATACGAAGAATCAGAAGAAGAAAGCAACAAGGCCAGGAAACGAAAGAGACCTTCTAAGCCCCAGTCATCACGAAAGAAATCCACCGTCTCGTCTCCTATTACCCGTGACGATGAGGATCCCCCGATACTCGATGACGACGATGCAATGGAAGACGGCTCAGGGTCTACGGCAGTTCAGTGGACATATGACCCTGAGTCGACCGACAAGCGACCAGTCACAAAGCCCGCAGATAGAGGTCCACGGGACCCCAACATCAAAGAGAAAGCACACACCAGAGAACCAGAGGATCGCTACCCCTGGCTTGCTAACATCCGGGACAAGGAGAAGCGAGCCCCCGGTGATCCTGAATATGATCCACGAACCATTTTTATCCCCCCGATGGCTTGGAATAAGTTCTCCGCTTTCGAGAAACAGTACTGGGAGATCAAACAAAATCTCTGGGACACCATCGTCTTCTTCAAAAAGGGCAAATTCTACGAACTGTATGAAAATGATGCCACTATCGGTCATCAAGAGTTCGACTTCAAGATGACCGACAGAGTAAACATGCGCATGGTTGGTGTGCCTGAGAGTTCTCTGGACCATTGGGTCAATCAGTTCATCGCCAAGCAGTACAAAGTCGCTCGAGTTGACCAAATGGAGACGAATTTGGGCAAGGAAATGCGCGAGAGACAAGACAAGAGCAAGAAGGCAGACAAGATCATTACTCGCGAGCTTGCCTGCGTTCTTACGGCCGGTACTTTGGTAGATGGTGGCATGTTACAGGATGACATGGCAGCCTACTGTGTAGCGATCAAGGAGTCCGTCGTGAATGACCTACCAGCTTTCGGTATCGCATTTGCCGACACCGCTACTGGCCGCTTCCATCTCTCTGGCTTTGTAGACGATGTGGACTTGACTAAGTTCGAGACCCTGATCGCTCAAACTGGCCCTCGGGAGCTCCTTTTAGAAAGGTCACAGCTCTCTACGAAGGCTTTGCGCGTGCTCAAGAATAACACTAGCCCCACAACCATCTGGACACACCTTAAGCCGGTCACAGAATTCTGGGATGCGGACACGTCTCGTCGCGAGATCAACACTGGGAACTATTTTGCAACCGAGGATGGCGAGGACGAGATCTGGCCTGAGAGTTTGCTCAAGTACAAGGAAGACGATCTTGTCATGTCTGCTCTTGGAGGTCTTGTCTCATATCTCAAGTTCCTCAAGCTGGAACGTCCTCTTCTATCCCAGGGCAGCTTTGAGACGTACAACCCCATCCAAAAGAACGGCACGCTCATTCTTGACGGACAAACGCTGGTCAACCTGGAACTTTTCTCTAACTCTGCTAACGGCGGATCCGAGGGCACATTGTTCAGTCTCCTGAACCGATGTGTTACACCTTTCGGAAAGCGAATGTTCCGTTCATGGGTCGCTCATCCCCTCTGCGATATAAACCGTATCAACGACCGCTTAGACGCTGTCGAGATGCTAAATGAGGATCCTTCTATTCGAGAACAGTTTGCGTCTCAGCTAGTCAAAATGCCAGATCTGGAGCGACTTATTTCTCGGATCCATGCTGGTGTTTGCAAGGCCGACGTCTTCGTGCGAGTTCTTGAGGGATTCGAGCAGATTGAGTACACCATGAGCCTTCTCGGTTCCTTCAAGGGCCGCAATGGCCTAGTCGATCAACTTGTTTCCAGTATGCCCCAGCTTGAAGAGCCCCTCAGCTACTGGAGCACAGCATTTGATCGCCATAAAGCCCGCGAAGACAAGCTCCTGATCCCTGAACGGGGTATCGAGGAAGACTTTGACGAGAGTGTGGATCGCCTGGCCGAAATCAAGACACAGCTGGAGGAGCTCCTAAAGGAGCAAAAGGCGACTCTGAAGTGTCGAACTATCAAGTATACGGATATTGGCAAAGAGATTTACCAGATGGAAACTCCCAAGTCGATCAAGGTACCTTCAAATTGGCGCCAGATGTCCGCCACCAAGGACCTGAAGCGATGGTATTTCCCCGAGTTGAGCCAGTTGGTGCGAGAACTTCAAGAAGCAGAGGAAACCCACTCACAGCTCATCAAAGGTGTTGCTGCTCGTTTCTTTAAGAAGTTTGACGTTGACTATGACACCTGGATCAAAGCAATTAAGATTGTTTCCCAGCTGGACTGTTTGGTCAGCTTAGCAAAGGCATCCTCCTCTCTCGGCCAGCCCAGCTGCCGCCCTCACTTTGTCGACGAGGAGCGTAGCGTGGTGAAGTTTGAGGAATTGAGGCATCCCTGTATGATCAACACGGTGGACGACTTTATCCCAAATGACATCAAGCTTGGTGGCGATGAGGCGAAAATCAATCTACTGACCGGCGCCAACGCGGCCGGAAAGTCGACCGTTTTGCGAATGGTAAGAACAATTTCACCCCATCTCCTTCTGGACCAAGTTACTAATCTCATGTTTAGTCCTGCATCGCCGTTATCATGGCACAGATTGGATGTTACGTACCAGCGGTGTCGGCTCGTTTGACACCGGTGGACCGTATCATGTCGAGATTGGGTGCTAATGACAACATCTTCGCCGCCCAGTCTACCTTTTTCGTAGAGCTTTCGGAGACGAAGAAGATTCTTTCCGAAGCTACACCACGGTCGTTGGTTATCCTTGATGAACTTGGCCGTGGAACCAGCTCGTACGATGGTGTGGCTGTCGCTCAGGCAGTCCTTCACCACGTCGCTTCGCACATTGGCTGCATCGGGTACTTCGCTACCCACTACCACTCGCTAGCAACCGAGTTCGAGAACCATCCTGAGATTCGGGCACGACGGATGCAAATCCATGTCGACGAAGCAGAGCGCAAGGTCACGTTCTTGTACAAGCTTGAAGACGGTGTGGCAGAGGGCAGCTTCGGAATGCACTGCGCCGCCATGTGTGGCATTTCCAGCAAGGTCATTGAGCGTGCCGAGGTTGCAGCCCGCGAGTGGGAGCACACCAGTCGTCTCAAGGACAGTCTGGAACGAGCGAAGACGGGGTGCTACATCCCTCTAGGTGTCTTGAGTGATATCGGTGCACTTCTTGGTGACAAGGGAGAGATCGGGGACAAGGGGATGGAGGTTCTTTTGCAGGCCATCGAGAGCCTATAATGATTATGCCAGTCAGCGGTGCTTTTGGTCTTTGATTTCTCGTTTTTTTCCTATTCTTCTCTTCAGGTTTAGTATCTTCGACGGTTCAATGCGTGGGATTAGTTGGGCGTATGTACAAGAGAAAGACATGGCGGCATCTAACCGGCATCTAGATATAATAAACGGAAGCTCGGTTTGCTTTCTCGCTTTGACAATCGACGGGAATGGGATGGGCGCTCTCTGGGAAATTGGTTGCTTTCTGTCAAAGAGGTCCGGCTACAGAAACTGGACGGGAGACTTAGGTTAGCATTTCATGGACAGTCACTATTCAGGCGATTCTATATATTGGTCAAAATTCACATAATTGGTATTAAGGGGTCGAAGCCCGGGACAAACTTGCGGTCAGTCAACGATCCAAAATAGCAAACAATGACTATCGTAAAATCAAAATGCCCAACTCTACTGTCTCGCCCGCGCGCGTTGCCTAGCAGACCTCCTGGGGCCCTCTGGAGGAGGAGCAGGTCCGGCGGCGGCGGCACTGGTGACTCTGTTTCCTCTTGCACCTCGACCACTAGCAGCTGCGGCTCTTGCTCTTGAGGCTTGGGCTCTGCCCCTAGCTTGAGCTCGGGTCCTGCCACGAGCTCTGGCATTTCCTCGAGGGGCGGCCGCGCTGTCAGCGACCTCGTCGGCCTCGTCGACCTCAACCTCTGAGAGTGGTCTGTAGGTGCTGTCACCTACACGCCTCCGCTTTGGTTGACGAGTGTCGTCCACGTCTGGCTCTATGTCATCATCCGAGTCCGACTCACTCTCAGTCCGGTACTCGGCATTGTCCGAGGGCTCTTGTCTCTTCCGTCTGCGAGCTGCTGTGGGACGACCACTTGCCGCTGCTCGGGACGGTCCTGGTGCCTCTGTTTGAGCCTCAGCTTCCCGCGCCGCATCCTCCCTGAGCCTTTTTTCGATTGCAGGTGGCCAGGGCTTGTTCCAACTCTCACTGTTGTCATCGTTGTTGGGGTCGTGTTTCCAGAAAGAGCTATATGGTTGCTTGCCATCGAATGGATAGAACTTGTGACCGAACAAGTCTTTGTTTTTGTTACGGTAGTCCTCTCTGGCGTCGCGTACCGCATCTCTTGCACCTCTTGAACGTTTTCCGATCCATCCACTCCGGTTGGGAAGGTTCTCATGGCTTCCCCGCTTGTTAGGGATCCTGCAGTTGCGTTCAGGATTTACGTGCGCCTAGACACAGTCATCACATTAGCGTGGATCTCACGTAGGGGAAATATATTTCCCTGCATTGTCAAACGTGGGTAAACTTACCTTCCACTGACTCTCGAAGGAAGGTTCATCTTTTGGGGTTTTTTTATGTGGGTTAGGCAAACTTCGCAAACACATGGAGCACTTGTCGCCTGGATCGGGCGTGAATGGGGGATCCGTGAGAGTCGTGGGTTCGCTGGGTCCTGCAGCGTCCTCTGGAGAGTCCCCTTGTCCTTCCGACTGGATCTCCTCTTCGCTGGGAGGAGTTGGTTGACGCTCTTCAGCTGCCGTTCTAGCGAGGGGCTGAGCCTCGCTCATAGCAGCTAATACCAGTGCGGCTTCTCTGTCATCATCGGTTATCTGAGACTGGGGCTGCTCCTGCAACTGCTCCTGGACGGCCGTTAGCCGAGGGTCCCCATACCGAGTCCTTTGCTCGGCCTGCTCTCCGACCTGCTCAGTCCGGTCACGGGAATAGAGGCCATAGGCCCGCGGTGCTTGTGCTGTAGGATTTGGGTTGGACTCGACTCGAGGAGACGAGTGTTGAGGGGGTGGCTGGTTTTGCTGCAACTGCGATTGAGGAGAGGATGGTTGCGCAACTGGCGGCGCCAATTCTTGATTCTTTTCCACGGGAGCAGGGGAAGGGTCAGGAAGATTCTGCGTTATGCTTGGGACAGCTTGCAAAATATTGCTTATGGGTGGTAGCACCCCGTTTGTGTGGCCATCGAGGATGTGGTCTACTAGCACCCGTAAACTGTTGTAGAGAGTCTGATCATGGCATTCTTCTTGACGAGGACACGGCACGCCACCATGGAATACGACTGGTCTCGCTTTCTTTAGGGTTTCAACCAGACTATGCTGCTCCCGAGTTGTGTAAAAATCAATGTCTGTCGATAACAGCGGCCCAACATCCCCCTCAGCCTCCTCCTCAGCCTCTTCGCTGTTACGGTTGCAGTTGATGCACTTCAGAGTACTCATGCAGGTGCCGCACTGGACCCCACGGGCTCTATTCTCCGGAGAGACAGAATTCCCGAGCCTCCTCCCATTTCGAGATGCGAGAATCGGGATGATAGATCCGTACCGCGGGCCCCAAGTTTGCTTTGAGATCTTGGGTCCAAGCCAATCGGCTTGACTCTCATTCACCAGCCATACACGCGCGAGCCTCGTGGCCACCCTCGCACGGATCTTAAACCACTCTACATCGGTGGTGTGGGTGCCAACGTAGTAGGACCCGCGAATGGGTCCCTGTGATCCATCTTTGTCGTCGCTGGATGGCTCAATCCAGAGATACATGTTCGACGGGGACTTTTCAAAGGCGTCGGGAAAAATGGATTTGGCCCATTGCCACATCTCGCTGACTGTTGTGAAGATCTCAGGCAGTCTGACTCCGGCCACAAGGTCGTTCCCCGTCTCAGACTGTTCAGGCGTTACCTTCTTCCAGACAGGAAGAAGCACGATCACATGGTTCCGGCCCGAATCCACGATGTCTCTCAGCAGCTGAGTCGGCTCCTCATCTTCAGAGTCCATCGGAATCCTTTGGTCTCTAACCTCTCCGTCTGCAATCTGTCCAGGGTTCAGGAACTGGTCTACGGTAAAGTACTGAATGCTCTCGATCATCCCTGCTTCAGAGTCTCCAAATACACGTCGCAGCCTCTGTCTCATCGACCCTACCAAGTCAATAAGACTAATGGGCGTCGTATCCATCTGATCCGGGTAGTAGCCGGGGACAAATAGAACATTTCCGTCTCTGACATGAGTCGCTGTGAATAAAATATTTGATTGAGACCCTTGAGCTAACCTGCTGAGATCTTCGGCAGTACATGGAGCGATCCCCATTCCTTCGAAAGGGTGTTGAAGCTGTGTCGAGATGGTAATCGCACATCTATCCAGATTGATGTCTGTTCCGGGATTCTGGTGGAGGACTTCCAATGCGGTACGCATATACACGTGGAAATCCTCCATGTTTCTTTCCCTCAAAATTCTGCTATCAGGGCTGTTGTCTTCTGTGAGGTAGCAAGTTGCTCCTCGGGCGTGACCATCTGCCGTCGAAATCTTCACTACAGATGAATTCTCTGGCCCGGGCTCAAAGGTAGACGGCTGTTCGTCTCGCTGTAATTTCACGAAGAAGCGACATTCACAATCTCCATGGGACTTGATGTGTTCATCAATGTACGTCTCTGCCTCTCCTGGAATCTCTGCATCTCCAGGAACATCTTCGGTCTCAGGACGGACGACCTGCGAAACAGTTGTCTCGACCTCGCCATTTCGATTGAAGCGGATCAGATCGAAGGGCAAACGGCCCCCTTTTTTTACAGAAAGTAATCTCCTGACGGCGTTGAGGAAGTCGCCGCTCAGGCTCGTATAAAATGGAACACAGCCTTGGAAGCCGTATAAAATGTGTGGAACTGCCACATCACCCCCTCTAGGGGGTGTGTGACTCTCTCCCAGGGCTGATTGCTCACTATTCATTGTTCTGTTCAATTCTTGTGGTGTCGTTTCTGCTGTCTTTCCCAGAAGTCCAGTAACTAGATAGGGCGACGTCCATGTTTATTATAGCTGGTTTGGACAGCGGTATCATAAATCAACGCTTTGTGGTCCATTGTGTTCAAAGCAATGAGAAGAAGAAACAACAAAAGCCAAGGCTACTTGAAAGAATGGACACAGCTTTAGTTGTTTACGCTTTGAAAAGGAGTATTTTGAAACAACACTCCAGATGTCCTACTTATTTTTGAACTGCAATGAACTGCAGAACAAAAGTTGGGGAGTAGAGATAAATACAGTTCCTATCTCTGAAGGTTCTCAACAAGTCTATTGTTTTGTCGTTCAATTTTCCTAACAAGATACAAAGCATTGTCTTCACCTCGCCTTTGTTTGGAGACCTTGTCAAAATTAGTTCCTATATAATCAAACCGTTTCCTTCCCTGTTGGCGAACATAGCTAGTAGCGTCAAGAATAGTAGCAAACAGATAATGCGCAAATTGTTTTGAGAGGTTATTGATCTTTCAATCGCACTTTTAACCTGCCCTACGGCTGTTATTGATATATTCAGGGAACAGTGCTAGACTTGAGACGAATTGCGAAGGCTAAATCTACAATAATATCACGTAAATGAATTAAATCAGTGCATTCCGCTACGATGCACGATTGATATTTGAGCAGTGGAATCTTAACTTACTTTGGTACACTTTCGTGGCTTGGGATGATGGGATGAAGTTGAGATCACCAGAAGGCGGGTCTAGGGTAGGAAAAAGCTGAGTCGTACGACGAGAAATGCTCCCACTGTGTCAGTCACGTGAACGCCACTGGCCACCCTCTTGCCCACTAATTACCACGATGAAGTACAGTGGATGCCTCCATCATGACTTTCTCGCGATAGACAAACGGCCTGTCTGCTCCGAGTTCGACGGTTAATACCACGGCGGAGGCAATTGGCGAGATTTCGGCTCCGCTACCCCGACATGGCCTTATGAACCTGCTTTTGCCCTCTTCAAGTTCACAATGAGGCCGCCGCGAATCCCCTCGGCCCACCAGGCGGACCTGCGATGCCTCATCCCGCGCACGGCTTGGGGCCCCTCGGTTTCCAATGCTATCGCTGTTCATAGCATCCAGCGGTGCCGACGCTCCTTTTTCTCGGCTACAACCCCAATGAGGGCTCCCCGCGCGGCTACAGCGACTTACAATGCCGGCTTCTTCCTCTCGAATCGCCTCTTCGAGCGATCTGCCTGCCTCGATTTCATTGTCGCTTCGAAACGAGCGAGCCTAGCAACTGCGTCAACGACGACGGCAAGCACACAGACAGCCTCTTCCTCGAATACAAATGAAGAAACTACGCAGAACTTGTCAGAGCTTGCGCCTCATCGGAGGCGGCAGGCCCGCAAGCAGAAAGAGCAGGCAGAAAAGCCTCTGCCTCAAGATGCCTCGTCACAATTGACCACAGCAGCCGCAGCCCAACCCTCGAACTCCCTCCGACGAACCTCCTCCATCCTTCTGTCCCTAACCAAGCCGCGACTCACCGTCCTCGTCGTTCTTTCTGCGATGGCGAGCTATGCGCTGTTCCCGGCATCCGAAATGCTCTCTCCCTCGCTGACCGAGACCCCGAGCTTGAGCCCTCTGACGCTCTTCTTCCTTACTGTGGGGACGGCGCTGTGCTCGAGCAGTGCTAATACCTTCAATATGCTGTACGAGCAGGCCACCGACGCCAAGATGACGAGAACACGGAACCGCCCTCTGGTACGGAAGCTGATCTCGACGCGGGGCGCAATCCTCTTTGGAATCATCTCTGGCGCTGTTGGTGTTGGCTCCCTCTATTTCGGCGTCAACCCCACAGTCTCAGCCCTCGGTTTCGCCAACATAATCCTCTACGCTGGAATATATACCCCGATGAAGAGAATGTCGGCACTGAATACGTGGGTGGGTGGCGTAGTGGGCGGCATCCCCCCACTCATGGGTTGGGCCGCCGCAGCCGGCGAGACGGCTACCGGGGATGGGTCTTGGCGTGAGCTTCTCCTTGCCAGCGACGGCTCATCTATCGGTGGTTGGCTGATGGCTGGCATTCTCTTCGCCTGGCAGTTTCCTCACTTCATGGCCCTCAGCTGGCCGATTCGCGAGGAATACAAGGCGGCTGGACTGCGTATGCTTGCCTGGACGAACCCCGCGCGGAACGGCCGCGTCGCTCTACGATATAGCTTCATATTCATCCCCCTTTGCTTGGGGCTTTGCGCCGCCAATGTGACGAACTGGGGCTTTGCTGTTACGAGTTTGCCCATTAATTTGTGGCTATGCCGCGAGGCAGTCAACTTCTGGAGGAAAGAGGGACACGGAGGTAGTGCCAGGGGGTTGTTCTGGGCGAGTGTGTGGCACCTCCCCGGTGTCATGATTCTCGCTCTGCTCCATAAGAACGGCATGTGGACTCGTGCTTGGAGGAGCGTGATGGGCGAGGAAGCCGACGGTGAATGGGAAGAGGAAGAGCTGGAGGCGATGGCGAGCATGACCGCCGCCAAGGTGGCCGAGAAGACGGCGGACCTGAAACGTCCATAACGTAGTGGACGCAACAGTCTTTGGACTTGTTCACTTTACATGTATTCTATCTGTACGATATAGTCATGGGTTTTCCTTCAAGTCACTGGTGCGGAGAGATGATTATATATCCACTGTGTCCTTTCATTCAAAAGGTAGATGAGCATGGCGAGGGCGGGGAAAAAGACAAGACAGATGTCCATGATTGATTTATTTGCATAGAAGACACATAGCATACGATGCTTTCCGAACGACGGTAATCGCAACTTCTATTTTGTATAGCACTTTCGCTTCCACCTGCTTTTTTTCTCTCATGCGTCTCAAGAACAACCAAACTAACTCCCAAACTCGGTACGCCTTCAATGTCTATGTATCCCCCAATAAACACTTCGTGTTTTTCGTTTCGCACATATTTTAAACACTGCTTCCCCCTTCCAACCCCCTCTATTAGTCCGGCTAATTCAAGCCAGTGAGGAGGAGAAAAAAACTAGCGCTAAGAAAGCAAAGGGGACGGGGATTCGCAGGCAAAATTAAAAGGAGTGTTTTTGATCTAGGTAGTATAAAATACCAGTATAGTGCAACCGGAAAAATTAATTAGGGCCCCCTCTTCCCTCGTGACGGGCTCGGGGATCAAGAAGCCCCCGGAGTCCGTCGACCCGGTTTTTGTCAAAGGAGAGATGGTATGTGTATAAGGATTCATCCAGAACAAACGGCAGCCAGTATTCGCCAGAAACTCCGTGTTGCTGAAGACGCAACTGAAATACCAGACAATGGAAAAGATAAATAGAGAGGCGAGACAAAAGAAAAGAAATAAAGGAATAAAAATCGGTGCGGGACAAAGGGGAATGACAATTGTAAACGACTTCATGACGCATCGACAGACGTAAGAAAGGAACAAGGATATAAAGGAATAAACAATAGGAAAGTTTAATAGACCAAAGAAAAATAGATCAAGGTAATAAAAACCTGAACAATGTGTTAAGCAGGTTTTCGGATCTTGGCGATGAGACCGTAAGTACTGCTCCCCTCCCGGCGGGGGACAAAGCGAAAACGTATGGACGATGGCATTCTAGTGATGTCTTCTGCCGTTCGAGCTCGGCAACCGCTGACTGCCCATATACGGGCTGGTATCGCTCTGGCTTCCGTTCCCATTGTACCCATGCCCGGCGCTCGCTGTCGAGCTTACACTGGACGAGTAGCGGTGCTGGCTGGGTGCCATGTTACCGTAGCCGGGCTCCAGACCAAACGGGCCCAGGTAGGCACCGCTAGGACCGGGGCCGAGGGCTTGCATGGGCATGTTCGGGGCAGCCATGGCGGCGTGGTGGGAGGAAGCGTGGAGGTGGCGAGACGAGCGTTGATGGCGGTGCTGCTGTTGGTGGTGGTAGTGCTGATCGTCGGAGGAGGGGGAGGTAGTCTCAGGACTATTATAGGATGCGTCTATTTGATCAATGGGCGTCAGGCCGATTCCGGAAATGCCGCTATCGTCGTCATACCCTGTAAGAGGTTGGCCAGAAGCGAGATGGTTCTGGCTCAGACGTTCATTGCGCGTTGCTGCGCGAGCAGCGCTCTGAAGGTTCTTGATGCCGCTGGCCATGCACTGCCCGTTAGGTGATTTTGTGTCAGCGCCAGGATCGAAAAAGGGGAAAAGGGGGGAGGGGTGGGATGTGAGGAGAGGTTTGCATACCTTTTGCTCGACAACTTGCCATTTCTCGCCGGTTCGTGCGGCGAGGGGAGCCCAGATTTCCCTGCGCATGGCAAGATACTCCTTGGCCATGCGCTGGAACTTTCTGTTGTCCCAGTCGTCGGCGTCTCGCCTCTCGGAGAGGCGCTCGTGGCGCTTGCGGCAGGCGTTGCCAGTCTTCTTGGGGAAGTAGAGCTCCTTGATCTGGGCCCAGTTCAGGCCCTGGGCCCTGGCGTTCAGGAGTTGGTGGTCGTCATTCACCGACCAAGCACCAGAGCTGGGGCGGTGAGACTGAGGGAGGGGCATTGGGGGTGCGGCCGTGCCAGCGTAGACCTCCTCGTAGGATGGTCCAGGCATGGGAGGGGCTTGAGGGGCTCCAAGAGCCATGGACGACGAGCCAGCAGCAGTGGTGGGAGGCATGGTGTAGTAGCCAGAGGGGGGAAGGGTCATGCGCTGCTGGTTGTACATGGGAGAAATAGGGGATAAGGGAGATGGCTCCAGCTCAACGGGGAGGTGCTGAGGGTAGCTCTGTCGGCTACTCGAGCGAGTGTGCCTGGCCATGGTGGATAGGGATGGAAGACGGTAAGCGGGTGGATGTGTGTATAATGATTTGAAACAGGTCGGACCCAACGAGAGGATCGGCTTGAAGTTCTAGAAAGCTGTGCCAGACAGCGTTACTCTAGAGTCTCAAACGGAGTGCAACGTGATGATTAGACGAGTATGAAACTCAAAGAACAGGGAAGCTGGATTGGTCTTCCAAAATGGCCGAGGAAAGTGGTCACTCTGGGGATGGGCCCAATCAATCTGCCGGGGTATCGCTCTGAAAAGACACCGAATCTGAACTAGGAGAAGAACAAAGACAGCACGAGAGTAGGAGATGATGAACCGGTTGATGGATAGGAAAGACAGAGGAAAGTATGACCAAGGAAATACTAGGAAAGAAACGAGACGAAAAAGGAAATGTTGATTGACTGGCTCTGAAGCAAGGAAGATGTGTTTGAGGAAGGGAAATGAAAACCTCCTGGCCGCGGACATCGGCCTGCTTTAAGGATGAAGAGTCCCATAGCTTCCAAGACGTCGAGGATAGGATATGGTCTATTCCGGTACATGCGTGCTTCAGCCCTTGAAACAGCATCCTAGAGCTCAATTGGGAAATGAAACGGTAACCGTGTGTCTAAAAGATTCAATCTCAGCAGAATGGGTCGACGATATTGGCCGCCAGAGGAAAAGGCCTGTGCCCGGGCGGCTAAGTGGACTGCTCCGGGTCATGAACGACGGCGGCTACGAAGATTGGCCCATGTTGACCTACCTCGAACTACTGTGGAGGAGGGGAAGGACGAAAGTGGAGGAACTCAGGTCAAGAGCCTGGGAGGGTTGAGATAGCGGCTAGCTGTCAAGGCGGGAGATGAAACGAGGCAGGTCTTGGGCTTGCCTGTACTCCCCACTGAGTCGTGTGGTATGGTGTGGGTGCGCGTGTGTATGTACGAGCCTCTTTCGAAACAAGCAAGCGATGGAACAGGCGCCATATGATCGACCGAAAAGCACGATGGGCTCCGCCCTGATCAAGAACACCTGATAGCCTTGATCCGGGCTACTGTATGGAAGCGCGGAAAATACGTGGAAGGTTAAAAAAAGAGCAAAAAGGAAATGAGAGGGGATCTCTGCATTGCATTCTGCGTCTTGAGCGGCGAGATGGAGTGTCGAGATTGGACAAGAGGGCCTGGCAAGCTGGCGGTACCCAGCAAGGCTGCATCAGTAGCAGCAGACTGCCGCGGGCATGCAGCAGAGGCTTCTCCGTACCAGGCTACCTCATGCAGAGCTTCCCGATGATGTCAAAAGGAACCAGTCCTGTGCCAAGGGAAATAACTGTCCAGTGTGTGGTGTTGAGTGCAGCCGAGAAGCCTCAAGGAGGACGGCAGTCGTGAAGGGCTGCGGGCCGTGATTGGTCTATGTGGGGCTAAACTGGGGCCTCCATTTCTAGAAGCGCGCGTTTAGACGAGATGGTACGTACCGGGGTAAGTGCCGCGTTTCTGATTGGTGCCAGCCTTGTGGGCAGCCCTAAACAGGACTAGCCCATCTATTTTCAGATCCTTCAGTGGGTCCAGGGTTCCATCCCATTGGCGCTCGAAGAAAACACCAGCGGCAGCTCAACATCGCCAGCTGTCTCTCTCGCTTTCCACAAGTAAGATGAAGCCGGGAGGGAAATACCCATGGCTAATTCCGACTTCGGCGCTTGCAATTCCAGGGGTCATGACATTGCCTCTCATAAAGGCAGGTTGAGATATGCTAGGTCGGCTTCTAGGTGGAGTCTGGTCTAGAATAAAGTAAAAGAGGTACGGCCCCCCTACGCAGCCAACAACATTTGCTCTGCATATCATTCTCGCATGGTCTAGCCGGTCTGGTCTTTGCGTCATGTTGCTCCTGTGCCTCATTGTGCGGCTCTGCGCCAGCTACCGTCCGGTTCATGCTTCCAGTCATTTCCCCTAACTCTCTGCTGTGTCTTGTTTTAGCTGACCCGGAATTGCACAGCACACCGTTCGGCTGGCTACGCGCCTAGCCTCGTCCTGCCTTGCATGAGATGATGACGGGCTGAGCTGATGTCTGATCATTCTCCCTTTTCAGACCCTCCGCCGCCATATCGTTGGTCAAGCTTGTAACGTTTATTGCATCGAGGCGTCGAGATTATTCTTGTCTTGCTTTATCTGTCATAACGGCCCTCTTTCTACCCAAAATGTCTATGCAGTCATACGCCCAACGTCTGTTCCCGCATGAATGAACCAACAGCAGGATCTATGATACCCTATCCTAGCCCGTTTCGCACCACCATGCACCGACCTCCGATCACATCTTTCCCTTCCCCACGACAGCCCAATGCCCGTGCCGCAAAAACACACTCTGATGTCTCAAACCATGGCGGCTATTAGTTCTGGGCCTTCCATCGCAGGATGGTCAGAGAGCGCTTCGGGAAAGTGAAAGCGCCCTTGCCATCCCACTTTGACTCCGTGATGCCCACCTCCTGCTTCTCGGCTGTGTTGACAACGTCTAGCGCGCTGCCGCTTACGCTATGCACCTCGACCTGCGAGACGGCACCGCGGATCTCTGTCTCAAAGTCCTTCTCCTCGTGGATGTTGACCACCGCCAGGTTGATCCACCCATCGTCGCTAAGCGCCGCACTCACATCCAGCCAGGGCGTGTTGACGGCGCTTCGGAGCCAGGCTGGGTGCGTGTCGCCCGTGTACTCGCCAGCGCGCAGGCCAACCGCCACGGAAGAGCCGCGCATATACTTGCTGTAGAGGAGAAGCGGCCACCACGTCGTCTGCTTGACTAGACCCTCGGGCGTGGTCATGAGGGGGGAGATGACATTGACAGACTGTGCGATGTTGGCCATGCCCACGTACTCGGCCTGGCGGATGAAGACATTGAGCCAGACAGCCACGGCCAAGGCGTCAGAAAGGTTATACCTAAAGAATAAGGTTAATCATCGAGTCTTCTCCGCTTTCCACATTTTCTTTTGCCCTTCACTTGCCGTGGCTCACCAAGTGGTCAGGCACCAAAAGCTAAATACTTACTTCTCTTCAGCTCCCTCCTCACCCGGAGCACGGACTGGATCCCAAACATTCCACTCATCGAAGCAAATCTTCTGCTTGCGAACGGTGGGCGGCACGTTATTCTCAATACGAGCCAGGTCAATCAGGCTGGCACTGATCTGGATAGCTCGTTCCGCGGACCTCGGAGCTATTTCCACACATCGTTAGCTGGCCCCATCTTCAGAGAATCTATCTCCACGGCCAAAAACTCTGCTGCCGGAGGGAACTTCCGTACCTGTGACATTCTTCAGATGCTCGGAGCTGGCGGTGTAGATGTGAATGCTGTGCATGTCAATCAGGCTCGCCGTCGTGCTCCCACCCAGCCCGTGCAGGTCGAACCGCACGCACTCCTTGAGCACGTAGGCGTCCCAAGTGCTGTAGCCCGTCTCCCCGCAGAGGATGAGCTCGATGGAGGGGTCGAGCAGCTTGAGGGCCTTGGCCCACTGGTAGGCCTTCTTTGCGTAGTCCTCCTTGGTCATCTGCTCGACCTGCCACGGGCCCCAGACTTCGTTGCCGAGAGCCCAGTACTTGACCTGAGAGGTTGTTGATGTTAGTATAACATTGCAATGTGGCACGAGTATGCTGGTGGTACAACACTAGGTAAAGAAGATGGGTGAACTTGCCTTGTAGGGCTTCTCTCTGCCGTTCTTACGACGGAGGTTGGCATAGTAGCTATTTCGATCCGAGTTGCAGTACTCGAGCCAGCCGAGGGCTACCACACACATCTGCTTGTCAACACATGCTCTCCCAGCATCAGAAGCCTCGTGGGGGCCGTGAAATATGACTGACTAACCTTCGTCCAAAGTACCTAAATGCGTATAATAAGTTAGCAAGTCCCGAGCTCCAACTCCCGACGAACCAACAGAGTAGCATCCTTGTTTTGGCCACTCTGCTGAATCACAGCCCTACACTTACCGGTACCGAAATTTAGGCAGAGATAAGGCTCGGTGCCGACGATTTCACACCACTTGAGGAATTCATCTGTGCCAATGGCATTCGACTCCGTGCCAATCCAGGCAAGTTCAGGCCTACCAAGGTCATGGTCAGTATCCGTCCCCCAGAAACCGGCTTTAATCCTCCCCTGTATATTGCAACTTTATCCCAAACAACGACAACAGCATTGCAGAACGCCGAAATTCTAGAAAGCAAACCGGCCAAAGAAAGGTTCATCTCACCTGCCAGGGCGATTCTCCCGGGGACCAACACCGTCGATCCAGTGGTACGTCGCACAGAAGTTGCCGCCGGGATAGCGAACAACCGGGACACGGAGCTCCTTCATGGCCTCAATGACATCCTTGCGGAAGCCGTGCTCGTCCGAGAGGGGGTTGCCGGGGTCGTAGAGGCCGCCGTAGATGCACCTGCCCATGTGCCTAGTTTGGATGGTAAGCCATTGCGTTCACGTCTTTGTCTGAAGCTGTAGAGCAAATCGAATATATGGGGAGGGCAGGGGAGTGTGGGGTTTTGGGGGTTTGGGCTGGGGTTGCGGCGAGTGATGAAAACAGGGTGTGATTGAAGCTTGAGGTGAGTTGCGAGGGTGTGAGGGGTAAGTGGTCAGTTTTTGCGTACTCTGTGAAGCCACCGTAGACATTGTCTTCGATCTTGGCAATGGTCAGACTGGGGTCGATCGAGATGGAAGGGCGCTCGTCGTCGCCAATTTTGGTGTAGGAGGTCATGGCTGCTATGGCCTGGCTTCTCAGCGGACAGGTGAGCTGGTGAACCCAGACGTCCTTTCAACTCGGCCGCCCTGTGAAAGATAGAAGCTGCAGTGGGGGAAGAAGAGGGGAGGAGGCGAGAGTTGTGAGATGCAGAGTAGATGGAGCAAGAGGAGAGGAGACTCCAGATGAGGATTGTATTGAAGGACGAGAAGATGGATGAGAGATTGGGGACCAGCAGGTCGTGTTTTCAATCGTCGCCGCTTGTCCACTTAATCTGCACCTTGGCTCGTTCATGTGAATCATGTCATATCGCCCGCCCTCGAGCTGCGACTAACTCCATCTCCAACTGCGTATCACGACGACCAGACGAAACCGCGCCCCCGCCGAAAAAGCGGCGCTCAGAACGGGTCACCGGAGGTCAGTCCCCTCTTGAAAGCTCTGAAATTTGCGTCTCTTGCCTCTGGTTTGCGCGCTCTTCCACGGTGAGGTCCACCGCCAGAGGCGTCACGGTGTGATTGGAGCGCTTCCAGGAGAGCCAGACCCGTCTCCTCACCACGAGACCATCTCTGCCCCCATCCACCAGATGGGAAATGCCCCGTCCCAACCCCCGGAAAGCTTGGCGCCACTCACAGCAGCTCGTCAGACCAGGCCTGGTCTCCGGCTGGGGCCCCGGTCCAGCTCGGGGCCCCAAAGCATCGAATGGGCGCGGGAGCATGTCACCGTCGCTCGGTATACAGATGCCCCGTTCGCGTCTGAGGCCAAGGGAGAATTAGATGCCGAGCATGGTCCCTCTGGAGCGCGCGACGAGACTGGCCAATTCGCGCGCAGGCGATGGAGAAATGAGACGAGCTTCCCGGAACAGACGAGGCCTTCCCAGCCGGCTGGAATCAGATATAAGTTGTGATCTTCCCCCCTTCAAGTGCAACGCTGTTCTGAAACCGCAGCATTCTCTTTTCCTGGTTCCACAACTCAGAGGAGAAAGACATCCACCATGGCTCTCAGCCCAAAGGTATACCAGTTTCTGGTATGCGTCTTCGCATCCATCGGGTCTCTGCTCTACGGCTATGATCTCGGTGTTATTGCTTCGGCCATTGCGTCTCCCGATTTCATCTCGAAGTTTGGAGACGACTCCAAAGAGATGTACGTTCCTCATTTGCATCCTCACCGTGGTAGACAGACCCAGCTAACCATCACGAAGCGGAGCTGTCGTATCAGCCTTTACAGGAGGAGCCTTCGTCGGCGCCGCGCTCGCTGGTCCTACCAGTGACAGACTCGGCCGCAAATGGACAATCATGATCGGTGCCCTCATCTTCTGCCTCGGCGGTGGCCTGCAGACCGGTGCCCGAACCATCAACTACCTCTACTCTGGCCGCGCCTTCGCCGGTGTCGGTGTCGGCTTCACCACCATGATCGTCCCCGTCTACCAGGCTGAGCTGTGCCACCCCAGCATCCGTGGTCTTGTCACTGGTCTGCAGCAGTTCATGCTGGGCATTGGTGCTTTGTGCGCTGCCTGGATCTCATGGGGTATGTCTCAAATTCAAGCACCCATTTCCGCAACTGATCGTTTTCGATTACTGACAAGACTACATACAGGTACTTACATTAGCTTCCACGATGCTCGACAGTGGCAGGTTTCTCTGGGTATCCAGATCATCCCGGGCGCCATTCTCGGTCTCCTCATCCTCCTCTTCCCCGAGTCCCCCCGCTGGCTGATCGCCCACGGAAAGGAGGCAGAGGGACTCAAGATCCTCGCCAGCCTCCACGCCGCCGGCGACGAGAACGACGCCTTCGTCCGCGCCGAGTTCGCCCAGGTCCAGGAGAGCATCTCCATCGACAGGGAGCAGGCGGCCGGGAGCTACATGGAGCTCTTCAAGGACAAGAGCTGCCTGCGCCGCCTCTTCCTCGCCTGCGCCATGCAGGCCAGCACCCAGATGACGGGCGTGAGCGCCATCCAGTACTATTCGGTCAAGATCTACGCCAAGATCGGCATCTCCGCCGACGACTCCCTCAAGTACCAGGCCATCTCCAGCGTGCTGGCCCTCGTCGCCCAGTTCCTCTGCATGATGTTCGTCGACAAGTTCGGCCGCCGCTGGCCCCTCATCATCGGAAACGTCGGCAACGGCATCACCTTCATCATCGCCACCGTCCTCCTCGCCAAGTACCCGCCCGGCTCCCAGGAGGTCGGCGCCGGAGCCGCCGCTTGGGGTTTCATCGTCGTCACCTGGCTGTACAACTTCTGCTTCAGCGCCACCAGTGGCCCGCTCTCCTGGATCATCCCCGCCGAGATCTTCGACACCAAGACCCGAAGCAAGGGCGTGTCCATCGGCTGCATGACCTCGTTTGCATTCAACACCATGATCGGCCAGACCACGTCCGTCGCTCTCGACGACAAGGGCGGAATCGGCTGGCGCTGGTACATCCTCTTCATTGTAAGTCCCCACCCCAAAAACAAGCAGCTTCAGTGATACTAACAAGCGACAGGTTTGTAACTTCACCAACGCCATCTTCTTTTGGGCCTTCCTTCCCGAGACCGCCAGGCGACCTCTTGAGGAGATGCGATATCTCTTCACCGAGGCTCCCTGGTTCGTCCCCACCATGGACATGTCCAAGTTCAGGACCGGCGAGTCTCTCGAGAGGAAGGTCGAGGAGGTTGTTAATAAGGAAGTGGCATAAAGAGGTTTCACCAGTTTGGGATGGCAGGTTTTGTCTTGCCATGGGAGAATACATAGATACCCTAGGAGTTAGTATAATCCAACTGTATCAAGAAGCCGCGATCCACCCTCAATGATGTAGAAACAAGGCCCAAGCAACGCTTCTGAACAGTCTGTCACAATGTAGATATGAATGAACTACCAAAGCTCCTCCTAACGCCACGCTTGCTGAATGTTCCCCAAACGAAAAAAGGGGGAAGCTCCATCACCAACCCCATCATCAAGTCTCCGTCATCTCGTCACTAACAACCTCCCTCGAAAACTGCGATACCAACTCCCCCATCCGACTAAAGACGCCGTGCTCTACCCAGAAGTGACCCGCGCCGCTAATCTCCTCGCCTCGGAACCGCGAACCCTCCGCGCCCTGCATGCGATCCACCCACCCGCGCAGCTTCCCAGCCGGAACAAAAACATCGTGGTCGCCATAAATAGCCAGGGTGGGATTGTGCCGCAGCTTGCCCTCCGCCAGCGAGCTGCCGGGGGCGCGTGACATGGTGGCGAGGTTCGAGATGAGCCCCTGGAGCGGGGAGATCAAGAGGTAGGCCGCGGACGGTCGTAGGAGGTCTGGAAGCGACTGCAACGTAGCATCCTCTGCGGGCGCCGCCTCTGCAGCTGGGGAGTCTGGAACGGACCGAAGAGGGTCGGTTTTGCCGTCAATGGCGGACGCCGGAGCGGCAGGGCGGTGGTGGTGGTGCCGCGTTTTGGCGATGAAGTCTTGGACGCCCTTGCGCAGCTTCTCCTCGGCGTCATCGAGGGAGAAGCTCCTCCGGCTGTCGTGGCTCTTGCGGGGGCTGCTACACTCTCCGACTCTGAGGCTGCGTCTTCCAGAGTACATTTGTAGGAGTTCCCTTTGTTGGGTGCCCAAGCTCTCGGCTCGTGTTCGGAGCAGACCGGGGGTCGACGCGATAGATGGGGACGTGAACTGGGCGAGAATGGAGGACAGCGGAGGGATTTGCGTCGTGATCATGGCGCCGTACGAGTACCCTCCCATCAGGAGGATAGGACTGCTGGGATTCTGCGGCCTCGATTCATGGTTGTCGAGGTAATGTATGTAGTAGGTGAGGAACCCGACAAGGGTCATGTAGTCTTCACGTTCGGGCTTCGCAGACCATGACGTACGGCCTTCCGAGTTCGCAGATCCTCTGCCCATCCCAATAGTTAGCAAAGAGACATCTCCAGGCAATTGAATGACTTAAACACGGCAGGGCTAAAAGCCTGGGTGTAGCTAACCTGAAATTGAATGTCGCGACGACGAAGCCAGCGCGTACCAGCTGCGCCGCCACCTCCTCCAACACAGGGTCATCGTAGCTCCCCCCTAGAGGCGCATAGGGATGGCCCAACACGGCGGCATGTTTGGGGCGCCATCCGGCTGCTGAGTTGGATGCCGCGAGGCCGAGAGGGTGGTAGATGCGGCAGTTGAGAGTGAGGTTGTCGTGTATGCTCGGCAGGGTAAATGTCAGGGCGGGGTCGGGCAGATGCATTGCTTCAGTGTTTGTAGCATGATGGGATCACTCCTGGCAATTGATGGACCGGCAGGAGAGGGCCGAGGTTTTGTGCTTTCGCTGAACGGATGTTGGAGTTTGCCCCAAAACTCCGGAATGCATCAGAGCAGAAGTTGTTACAAGCTTATCGCTTTCGGTTGGGGAGTGGGACAAGGGACAACGGAATGCGACGTCATTTTAGGTCCTTATCGGGCACCTACTGGTTACTTTGGGAGCTCGGGTTGGGTCGGCATGGAGCTCTCTGGCGAGCTGACAAAAAATAAAAAATTAAACTCGGTTGTGAGGAAAAAGGAACATGTGATAGTCGACAAGATCTTCTAATATCTATCGTGAAATTTCAGCCGTGTCTTGCTATTGCTCTATGCTTCAATTGCTTGCTGGTGATGGGGCTGGAATGAAGCTTGAGGACGAGGACGACAGGGGAACATCAAAGGGGATGCAATAAAATTTTCCCTTTTTTTATTATTTGGTTTTCATAACCTTACCTCCTCTATTATATCTAGTAAGTATGACATGGTAAAAGTTTCATTACATCTTCGTACATAGCTCTTCATTGGCTTTTCTTCTCCTTGGCCTCCTGGGCCCTCTGTTTCCGCGCTTGAAGCAGCCTCTTGATCTCCTTAATGGCCCCCATTACGAGCGGGACTGTGACTGGCCCCAGGAGTGGGAGATAGACGGCAATCTTGTGCTCGTCAGGGAAGTAGAGCTGCCCAACCATGCTCTTCTCGAAGAAGGCTCTCTCAGCCTCCTCTTCGGCGATTCGGGCATGGTATAGAGCCTCAGAGCTGCCAAGGCTTGCACATGCTTCTTCCAGATGCCGAATACTCTTGGCGACACCGTCAGCAACATTGCGAGGGATGGCGATCGAAGGGAGGGACCGCGAAAGGCGCGCGAGCGAGCCAAGGGTGTCGGAGGCACGAAGTAGAAGGTCTGCGGATCGGATGCGGGATAGAGAGGACAGTCGGAGTGGGAGGGAGCCAGATTGGGGCGTTCCAAGGAGTGTGAGCAGATGACCACCAAAGGTGAGCATTGGTTGGCGGAGTGCATCCTTGGTGACATGACTGTTGGTATCAGGCTGAGAGAGCAAGTACACAGTACCCCACTGAGGAATCATCCAAGATTGTGATGTCTGGCCCTCGGAATCGGGGAAACCAATTGTCTGGTTGCCGATAAATGTAAGGAAGTTGATGGTCGGGGCGCCGCCAATCGATGGGGAGAGAGGCCATTCGGCTGCGTTAATGAAAGACGCTAGATCGTCCTTGGTCAAGGTCTGTGACTGCACGCCGGGCGTAGCATAAAGCTGGACCTGGGTGTCGATTGTGAAGTTGTGAATCGGCCTAAGCACATCCAGCAATGGTTTCATATATTCGTTGATGGCGGTATCGATATCCCAAGTGGTGGGTGCGGGTCCGTCAGTGAAGAGGGAGAAGGTTAAGTGATAGGTAGGTGCATATCGGACAGCGCGGGTTGCCCTCTTCTCCAAAGCTTCAACAACGGCAGGGCTCAGACCGGCTGGTTTCGAGGTCGGGGAGGAGGAAGTGGATAAAAGGTAAGAGACGATGGACTGCTCTTCAGCGAAGGTGGACCGGAGTTCGGTTGCAATGTATGTTGTAAGCATGGACGAGGCAGAATGAAGCGGGGGCACGCTGTTCAGAGGGTATGTGATGTCCAAGGCGGCGCGGTAGGGATCGAGTGCGGCAGTCGTGGCATCACCAGGCTTCAAGTGAATGGATAGCGCGGACTTGGGGTTGTGTTCGCCTTCGCGGGGACGGTCCTGCCTGGGGGCAAGCTGGAGGCGCAGGTGATGGCCAGAGAAGTCGTTGAGATCGTCAATGGCATGCTGGGCCAGTCGAACGAGATGGTTGGCTTCTTCTTCCTGGAGAGAATCGGCATGGACGGCGATTTGGATGGGGATGGCGGGTCGGCAAGCCTAGCACGAGGAGAAGAGAACGGTGAGCCATGAGGGAGAGCTGTTGGATTGAGTGGCGCCTACCTTTCCATCTGCCCACTCTAGCATGCGATCCAGTGGCAGGTCGGCGCGATAGATGGTCGTAGTCTTCCACCAGAATGGCAGACCCAGGAAGACAACGAGCAGCCAGAAGGACAGGACGATGTAGCTTCGGCGGCGGATGGCCGTGGGCGTCTCTGGGGGAGGGGCCTTGACGGCGGGAGCGGCGGGAGCAGGAGACTCGGATGCGGCAGCGGACGATGCAGTGTCCTTCTGCGTCGGTCCTGATGGCGGAGGAGCCATTGCGCACACGTATGAGACGAGGATCGTCGACGGGGGAGCGAGCGAGCGGTTGGTGATGGTGGGAGCTTATCTGGGAGAAGTGTCCATTTTCCCCAGGCGATGGAATTCTACGCGACACGCCCCTTGACCAACGATCAGCCTGGCGCCAATGCCACAGGCCAGCTTGAGCCCTACAGCAACTAACTTACAGGCCTGAACCCACCTTGAGGATCCCTAAACCCCACCGGCGGCCAATTAAGTTTAGCGCCCGGCTCCCCCTCAGGGGCATAATCAGGTCCTAGACCAGTTGATCTTTAGGGTGGATTTGGTCCCCCTTCGATCTGACAAGCAGAAAACGCTTCATCATACAGCTGACTCTTATCATCTCGTTGTAAGTCGCCACCCTAGTCAACGGCCCACCCCCCTCAACGGTCCACCATTGAATGTCCCAACCTCTTCATTTTCTATGCCTGTAACTGCGCGATTTCTCATGCAAATTTTATTCTTTTCAATTGAAAATTACATCATTTAATTCGCAAATGACTGGGCTTTCTGAAGATAATATTCAATCGGCCATTCGCGATGTAAAAGCGGGCTGTTCGCAGCGAACAGCTGCGACGCGATGGGGAATCCCTCGGACAACCCTACGTATGCGTATGGAAGGTCGCAAGACACGGCAACAAGAGGCAGAGACCCGGCAGCGGCTCTCGAAGATCCAGGAAGCCCGTTTAACAAAATGGATCCTTGTTCAAGATTCAATTGGGTTTCCTCCGACCCATACGAAGGTCAGAGATATCGCTTCGTTCCTGCTGTTCGAACAGGGTGAACTTGACCCCCTCGGCAAGCACTGGTTGGAGGGATTTTTACGCCGTAACCCGGAGGTCAGAACCCTTCAAGGCAAGAGAATTGACTTCCTAAGAGTTGAAGGAGCTACAGTTAACCGTATTAAGGATTTCTTCGCGCTCAAGCTGATTCCTGACATCCGGAAGATCCCTCCTTGCGATCGTTGGAATATGGACGAAGCCGGTATTATGGAAGGCATTGGTGATAACGGCCTGGTTCTCGGGTCTTCTCGTAAGAACTGGGCAGCTAAGATACAGCCCGGAACTCGTTATTGGACTACGATAATTGAGTGTATCAGTGCGGCAGGTGGGCACCTCAAGCCTCTTGTTATCTTCAAAGGAAAGACCGTACAGCAGCAGTGGTTTCCAGTTGAATTAGATCATCTCA